ATTTCTTGTTATCGCCTTCGTGCCACCTGCCCTCCGCTTGTCTTCTTTAGTTTCGGTTTGGCGTTCCTCGGCGCTTGCAAGTCCTTTTAGCCACAAATCGTACCTAACCACAGCACTTTTGTGTCCATTCCTTACAACGGAGCTTTTCCACTACAAGCATCTCCTGTTGCTAGAAAAAAAGATGTTGCTCTCGCGAGGTATGCGCAATAATCAGGCAGAACTTGATACTGACTACGAAGACCTGCCTGCGCATGCACCTGAGGCGTAGCGTTTCCACCTCAAGCTGCAGGAGTTACTTCTGCTTGAGAGGAAGAAACTGCTCTCGCAAATGATCAGCACGTGTCGCTGGTGGACGCGTCCTATTCGGATAAACCGCACACAGGTATCAGTGTTTCACACAGTGGTGAGTTATGGTTACTCCAACGCAGACACACAAACGCATGCGAGAGAGAGATTGTTTATTCATCTATATGCAAATGCTTTCTCGTTCGTTCCAATTAGTTGCCCTTACTGATTTCAGGTGATCAAGAATACTTCAAGAAATACTGCAGAGTGTCCGCTGAAAAATTTGAACTACATGCCCTTTTGCAAAAGGACCTTACGAGGCTACATGCAATTCGTGAGCCAATCCCGTCACGTGCAAGGCTTGCAATAACTAACAGGTATGTCTTTTGCAGAGGTATTTGCAATAACATGTGAAATAATGGTCAGCAATGGACCTTGCCAGAAATTGCAGCGGAGCGCCGGCGGTCAGAGCAGACGACGCTTTCCTGCTTTCGCCTGCTTCCATTGCGCGCTGTGAGTGGTTTCGGCTGGTTTAAGGAGCTGCTATTGTTAAGAAATGCTTCTTCTGATCGCTCTGCCTTTCATTCAAGCATACCAGATTGTGTTGTTCGTCGCAAATGACTGAACATACCGAATAAATAAAGTGGCGGACACACTTTCGCGGTTCTGGGATGTGATAATACGTGAAAGTCACAGGACGTTTCATTCATTGCTTACGCGCCATGGTGGTTTAGTGGCTAAGGCACTCGGCTGCTAGCCCACGGGTCGCGGGGTTAAATCCCGGCTGCGGCGGCCGCATTTTCGATGGCGGCGAAAAGGCTTTAAACCCATATGTGCTTAAAGTTCTGGAGCCCTTCACTACGGCGCCTCTCATAACCGCGTGGTGGTTTTGAGACGTTAAACCCCAACAATCATATTATTCGTTCATTGCTTGGTGCTGCTTCATAGATTCGAGATTTGTGGTGCTGCAGCTAAGTAGAACCTTTGTTGAGATGTCTGTGTCATCACTCACTGTGACTACGGGGCTGGGATTTTACACTTGCAGCTTACCCTGTAATTGACTATACGCGAATTTATTAAGGCGAGAGGCTTAGATATCTCGTTATAATAAACTCACAGGGTCCCCTATTCATCCGCCTAAAATGATTTGATGGAGAAAGCCATCTTCTCTTTCTTCTCAGTCGATTTACTGATCCTACCCCGCCAGTGTATGACTGTCAGCAGGATTTTTCCGTGATTGGAAACCCGTCTTCCATCGCGGCTGGGGGAGAGCACTGGCGTAGCTTGGGCGTGGGCAGGTGCCGGTGTGGCATGAAGGGAGGTAGTGCCCCTTTTGCACCCCCCGGCCGACACCCCAGCCTGCCACCATTCACACCACCCTTTGAAAACTTGCTGTACCTAACGAGGTTTGCACTGCCTCCATGATCAGACCACATTGCACCGAGCTCGGATGTCACACGATGACGTGAACATGTGAAGTCACGTGATGTTTTGATGATGTCACAATTTTGGCGATGTCTGACGTCATATATGTTGTCATCACGTGATGGTTTTTTTTCGATCACTCGGCGGCGCCGACGTGAACGCAACCGATCGAGTTTCACGTTTGTTTTTAGGCGAAAACCTTAGATGCCTCATCAAAAATTGACCGTTGGTGGCTTTGACGTACCGCGGCGTCAACAGGGGTGATGCAAAAATCATCGCGTCACCATACGACGTCATCATGACGTCACGGATCAGCAGAATCTGTAAGGTCATCATCATAGTCCCATGATCACGCCATGATCGTCGCATTGCACTGCTTTGTTGTCGTGTGAACGGCCCACCAATCACGGAGGTCGAGCAGAACCAGGTGAGGTGCCCAAAGTTTGGAATGCCGCCAGTCATAAATCAGTGCAAAGCCAATTTACGTGCAGAAAACATTCGCAAGGGGGGGGGGGGGACACCAATAAATTGACTGAACAAAAAGAAACGGCTGTCGCCTTGGGCATTAAAAACCCTGCGAGTGCTTTTTTTTTTTTTTTGCGCTGTTACGTAGTGTTTATTCTGCTATGCATGGTTATGTTCAATCGCATCTGCTTTTCATTGGCCATAAACCTAGAGGCCTCACCTATTTTTGCATCATCTTTTTATTTGTTTCCCTGTGTCAAGTTTCATGATTATCGATAAAAAAGCTAAACTCGCCGTCAGTTTTTTTTCCCATTGTCAGTTCATGTAAGCGCTGCTGTGGTGTCCATACCTTTCCCACACTGAATGAGGCTTTCACCGTTGCTTTTAAAGTCGTTCTGACCATTAACAGCCTTCCACAGCAACGTTTTCTGCCTTAAACCATCTGTGCCCAGATAGTGAGTGCTTATTAGCACCATAAGAATGTTCAACAGTGGAAGCTTGGGCTAGTTGGTGCGTAGTCATATTTGCAAGTTTTTTTCAATGCGTGAACATAGGATTTAAAAAAAAAACGGGGTAGACAGAAAGAGCGCTGTTTCTGTCTACCTTGTCCCTTGTTCCTATATTCGCGCGCTGAAATAGCTTGCAAATATGACTATGCACCAGCTAGCCAAAGCTTCCACTCTTGTGAGTTCATGCTGTGAAATTCTGAATACGCCTGAGGCGAGTTCTTCAGATATTTTGTCCTAGGCCCTTTTGACAAAGGTGACAGGAACTGTATTGAAACGAGATCACGGGAGCTGAAACAGTAAAACAGAATATTGTGTGAATTATTCACACTGGCACTCATTCCGTTGTATATTTCTTCCAATTGTTAACTAGTCATGACCTTTTGTGCAGTCAGGTCCAACATTCTTAAGTTAATTTCCAAGTCACGGTTGTGGAAACAGGAATTGCGCAGAGACAGCAGGTTTTACGCTGTTTGAAAGCAAATTCTGCATGCGAAGTATCCGCTCTATGGACGTGCTGGTAGCTGGTTTTTACTACTCTCAGCATCCTTAGTGCAAACTTTCTCACACACATTTAAAACAGGCAATTAGTATTCAAATATACACAGCATAGTGGGGCTCGGAACTCATTTCTAAGGGTGGAACTTTGACATTATCATTCGCGAAGTGCATGGTCTTGCACTGCGTATCGCGCGGAAGCATATTACGAGTGACAGTCCCCGACATAAAGTACTAATAATGAAGCTGTACGGCTATACTGACAATAACACAAATGACAAAAGCTTCCGCTACGCAGAAATACGATCAACGAAGCACAGGGGACTCACCGCGAAAAACTTTCAATTCAATGGGCCTTTTCACGGGTACATGAGCAATTTCCCAAGTCATTAATAAGTCAAGAATACTAGTGTTTCCTGACTGCATGTTGCTCTGGGTGGTGCCTCTTCTATAAATACAGATCAAAGCAGGGTTATGATGCGCGATATTCCCGCAAAAATGCGTTCGTACACTCGTGCACTGTGGGAAACGGGGTGCGCCAATGCTTCCGCGAGCAGACGACACTCCGCCGGCACTCCGGTTTCCCGTAATGCTTTGCAGCTACTATCGAAGGATGCCTGTCATTTTCTGGAACGGTCCATTGGTCTAATCGAATACAGATACAATAGCACTAGATATATCATAGCTGAATTATGCAAAAATGCAGTCGTCCATTGGTCTAATCGAATACAGATACAATAGCACTAGATATATCATAGCTGAATTATGCAAAAATGTAGCCCAACTATTGTACAGTTGTAATATCTGCAGACATGTAAACAGTTGAATTATTTTTAGCTTGTTCAATCTAGAATGTGCATTGTTATCAACCAGCAAATCGCTATTTCATTAGCTATGGCTTATTTTTTTATTGAAAGCCTCTGCCAGTGTCTGCGTTCGGTCAAACGGTTTTCATTAACTGCAGGTAATGCAGTAGCACGTTACACTGATGTTGACTGTATTGTACTGAGTACGCTGAATGCATGTTCTGTCACGCCAGCTATGACGCATTTCTGTTATGTGCGTGCAGCATAGAACATTTCAGGCTAGCTCACATTATCGCTATAATAGAACTGAACTTCTTTTTTTTGGTACCTGGCCTTGGGCATGTACATGCAGGATGTGGCACTTGAATTCCGCGTAGGAATTTCCACAGTGAGCAACATAGTACACTCCACAAGCAAACTGTTGTGGCGAACTCTCCAGCCCCTGTACCTAGAAGTATGTATATTGCACATGCAGTTGGTATTCATGCTACAAAGCCACAGAACAATAATACACACACTATGCAAACTGTCCACTTTCAGTAGCCATAATCAGCATTTATGTGTAGTTTTCTGTAGTGCTCGATGACAGATTTGCTTGTACCTGAGCCAGACGTGCTAGTATACTTTAGTGACACACTATGCAGGTGCACACCTACCGATGCTGCTCTACTTTAGCATGTCCTGTGCATGTAATTCAAACAAGACAAACATTTATGATTGCCTTCGCTTCTGGCTGTCATTTGGCTGGGCAAGTGAGCCTCAAGCAATTATTAACTGACCTTTCTCTCGACCTCTGATCTCATATGCAGTGCCTGAGCAATAAAACCTAATCAAATGTCACATGTAAATCTCAGTATCAATAATGGCACTGTGCACAATTCATTCTTGTGCTTATGTTCACTCAATTTTGCTTTACAGTGACTAGCATACATTTCACATGCAAATGTGCATTGATGCTTGTAGCACGTCCGGGACGAGACGTGAGACGACGACGTGAGTGCAGTCGTTGAAGCTGTGCCAGTCTCGCGACTTTATTCATAGGGCTGAAGTGGAGCAGCGGCCGCTGCCAGCATTCGACACGCCAAGCGCGTGCAACTGTTCTGTAGCTCGTGCAGCTCCAGCTAGGCATTACCTGCACGAGAGGTGGGGCACAGTGGCTAAGAAATGATGATGAATGACGGTGATGACTCTACAATTCTAAATAGCATTTTAATATGGCACTACTGTTTTGGAATATTTGTAGTAATGTTTAGCAACCGTTTCACCCTTCTCTTTATCAGGTACCAACACCTGCCACTTGGAAAATTGTTGCGCAAGGTTTCAAGGCAAAATGCAACTTTCCGAACTGCATCGGAGCAGTAGATGGCAAACACATTCAAATACAGGCCCCACCAAACTCGGGCAGCTTGTACAACAACTATAAGGTACCGGTGCCTATTGTTTGCAGTTTGTGATAAGCATTATACAACGCACTTTGGAATGACAGGGAACCTTCTAAATCGTTTTGGTGGCCGTTTGTGACAGCGACCTCAAGTTCGTCGTTGATGTAGGGGCATTTTGTCGGCAGAGAGACGGGGGGAACACTAGGTGTGTCACGATTTGGCAAGTGCCTGAAAGATGGTAAACTTGGCCTCCCTCCACCAGAGATTCTGCCAGGTACAAACACACAGGCACCACATGTGTTTGTTGGTGACGACACTTTTCACTTGAGGGAGGACTTTCTCAAGCCCTACTCAGAACGCCAACTGAGTAGTGATAAGAGAATTTTCAACTACAGGCTCAGCAGGGCAAGGTAATAGCCAATATTCTCACCTTTACAGCAAACTACAAAAACATAATGCAAAGTAAACTTTTTTTTTTCTATTCTAGGAGTTGTGTGGAGAACACATTTGGGATAATGGTGTCACGATTCCGCATTTTGCGCCGTGCCATCAACTTGCTGCCTAACAATGTAGACTACATCGTGATGGCATGCTGTGTCCTCCACAACTTTCTCCGAGATGATGTCATTTACATGTCCCAGTGCCACGATTACATACCCACTGAAGAACATGAAAACCGTGGATGAAATGGCACTGCACTTCTCAGCCTGCAGCAACCTGTTGGTCACAGCTATACTAGTTCTGTAGGAGCCATGCGAGATCTATACTGCAACTACTTTGTAAGCGTGCACGGTGCCATCCCATGGCAGCAAAAACGCGCTGGTGTACGACAGTGACTTCGATGCGGGCTAGTGTGGAAGAATGTGCTCGCTTCTTAGCGATTAACAGACTTACGACTGCACTAGCACTCAGAGGATGAGTTCAGTGAACAAGCTTAATGCACCTCAACAGTTTCACTTTTTTTATATTCGTCTTTCACTTTGTCTTCAACCTAATAAGAACATGTACGCTGTTTGCCGGCTTTGCACGCTCGATGTGAAGCAGTGTTTTGTATATGCTGGGCAATGACCAGCTAGATATATTCAATGTAATGCAAGCAAGTGCAACAGCTTCTGCCTTTCAGGCACCAGCATGCTGCCCGAGGAAGTGTGCTAGAGCCAACACTGTGACAGGTGCATTTGCCTTCCTCGAGGCTGGAACCCATCCGTGAAGACAAGTCAACTTCTCAAAATGTTGGCTCCAGCACGCAACCCGTTTACAGATTTTTTTTAATCGTAGCCTTCAATCTTCCCCTTCCTGCGGTTCTTTTGGATGAAACACACAAGAATTTTCCTGTAATCGCGTCACACAAGAATCTTACGCACCACGGCGATTGTACAGTTACAGTTAATACAGTACAAAAACGGCAAAACATTCACACTATATATATATATATATATATATATATATATATATATATATATATATATATATATATATACTGTACTGCGCAGAAAATATAAATCAACGCCGCCTCTCATGCGCTACAAGGCGTACCTAGATCTAAAGCACTTCAACACAACGAACGCGGAAATTCAGGTAAAGTAGAAGCACCAACGGACAAAAAGTGAAACACGGGTCGCTGCTGGAGGAACCACATTGTTGAACCGTTCCCTCACAGGCGACCCGCAAGTCGACGAGTGTTTTCATTGAAACAAAGGAAAGGAAGCCAGCGGCGTGGAAGAAAAGTGAACTGGTCGGAACCTTGGCTCCAGCGTCATGCCGTGTTAAAAATACTTTCATCTATTCACTCAAGCAAAGAATTTATTTACACGAGGTTCAAGGTCGCGATATAGCAGCAGTAGTCTCGAATGTAAAAAAAAAAAAAGTCAAATTTGTGGCGACATACGAAGGTCGCGTCTTCAGGCGTATGCTAATATTACAACTCGCGACGCGCGTGAGCGCATGCATAAAGAAGAGGTGCGTGTCGTATGTGCCCATAAACACAACATAAAAACGTACAAGGAAATCTGTGGAACAAAACGTACACACATGCGATTGACGCCTCCTGGCCATGAGGTGCAATGCATGCGCGTGTCGCACCTGCTCAGCTTTACAAAACCTCTCTTTAATCGCAGCGATTTCAACAATTACGATAAAAATGAATGCACGTAACCTGATGTACAAGCTTTCATTTCCCCTATTCATCGCATCACACTAGTGACTGGTAGTACGTGCCAGACTCACCTCCACACATGCTGACCCACCACAACCACAGAACACACAACCAGCACGAAAACGTCGACGCAATTTCGACGGCTCAGCCCGCATGGTTCCTGCTATTTCCACGGGACTCGGCCAAAAAACGTCGACGCTATTTCGACGGCTTGACCGACCCGGTCATATTTCGACGGGTTCTGACCGAAAATTGCTCCCGCCGCTGCGATTAGAGCGAAAATTTCCAACATGTTGGAAGCTCGCCGCGGACCGCTGCTAAAGTGTTCTAGAACACTATACCGCTGCGGCGGGAGCCTTGCTTTGCTTTGATATCCTAGTTACATGGCACGTACCCACTTTGGCGGATTGGCCAAGAATGCAACGTAGAGACTGGTAAATGTTATTTTAGGTAAGCTACGAAATTATAAACCAAAAATAAAGAAGGCAGAGGGGTGATATCTTCAGACCAGCCTTGTACCGGTAACTCCATGGGTATTTTAGGTGATTATATTCTGTTCACGTGGTTATTGCTTCTATCATATCTGTGTGGATAGCTGATCTTCTAAACCTGATTGCGGTGAAGTATTCTACCACTGGGAGAACCTAAATTATTGGGGGATCTAGCGATGGGCGTGCTAAGGCGTCGGCCATTTCATTTAATGTTAACCCACAGTGACCTGGTACCCATACTAATTTTAGGTACTTCAGCTGAGACGGAACTAAAGATCGTAACGTCGTGATGGCACGAGAGGTATGAGAAGTTGTAAGAGCTGTGCATACCGGGAGCAAATCAGTAATTATTATTGCTCTGTTCTCATTCTGCGGAAGTTTTCGCAGTGCCATGATGACTGTCGCTAGCTCCGCCTCAAAAACAGGAGTGAAATCGGGTAGCCTCACCGCAAATGACCAGCCGAGTGATTGGCAGACTATTCCTACGCCTGCCCTTTCTTCATTGACGGAAGCATCTGTGGCTATTATGTTACACATCTGTGTATGCTGTAGGAAATCTGTTAGCCTGTTCTCTAAGAATTTGCGGGATTGAAATTTAGATTGTGGAGGAAAGATCTCATCATATTCTGTATTATGTATATGGTTTGAGATATCAGAAGCAATTATATCACTAATGTTGACATTTATACCTGTCAGTTTCTTTTGTACACTATAGATTATCTGCGGTGTATGAAAACGAGGCCAATGAGCGAGAAATAACGAATCTGGGTCACTGATGAAAACCTATTCAGCTCTTCTCACTGGTAAGCTGTAAAATTTCAGAGATGTCTGTATTGTTAACAAGCGGAATCGACAGAGCAATGTAGGAAGACGCGCTTCCTGATAAATAACATGAATTGCTGTTAACCTAGAGGGCCCCAGACACAAGCGCAGAGCTTCCTGCTCTAAGAGAACCAACTGCTTAGTTTTGTACGCAGGTCCTCCTGAAAACAAGACACATCCAAATTCTAATATTGGGCGCATATACATTTTGTATATCATTAACATGGTGTTTTTACGTACGCCAAATTTGCGATTACTCATTCTTCGCAGTAAGCCTAAAGCCCGTTGAGCCCTCGCTGTAATGTACTCTATATGTGGACTCCAGTTAAGTTTTTCATTGTACAAAACACCCAAATATTTAAGGGAGTCTACTTGCGAAATAGGTTCCTGGTTATATACAATGTCAATTGAAATTAAATCGGCTATGGGAAACGCCAAGAGAGCGCTCTTTCTTACATTTAAAGCCATTGAAATTGACTGCAGCCATCTTTCTAGCATGTTCAAGTATATTGGTAATTTTTGCTGTAGAGCATAAATATCATTGTCAGCAGAAAAGAAGGCTATATCATCAGCATATACATAGACATAGGTATCCTGGCAGTTCGGTATGGAACTCATCAGTTTATTAAATAGAGGAGGTAAAAGAACTGCTCCTTGGGGAACTCCGCGATTCTGTTTGTATCTAGATGACGAGCACCGATCCTTGACACAATCAAATTCTCGTGAGGTCAAAAACTCTGCTAAACACGCCATCATGTACTGTGGGAAGTTCAAAGTCATCAGTGTATTCAGCAAAATGGAATGTTCAACACTATCATAGGCTTTTGCAATGTCAAGAGTCATTAGTGCCGCTTATTGTCTTCTTTTTTTAGCAAGCTGTATTCGGCTTTCTAAGTCTGCATGGGCACACCAGATTGAACAATCGAGTCTAAAGCCAATTTGTAGAGGTTTTAGTATTGACTTGCCTTCTATCCAACTAGTGATCCTGCCATGTAGAACCCTCTCTATGAGTTTTACCATGTTAAAAGTTAAGCATATCGGTCTTATATTTTCCATGTTGAATCGTGATGCCTGTTTATTAGGTATTGGAATAGCCTTAGCCATTTTTCAATCATAAGGAATCCATGCATGCTTTAGAGAATAATCTATAACATTAAGAAATTCACAGGGAGATGTTTTAAATAATATTTGGATCATAGATACTGTGATTCTATCCGGGCCCGGGTCTGAAAGGGGTAACTGCCTTATCACGTAGGATAGTTCCGACATTGAAACTTCCTCAAAATCAACCTGGTTTGTACGAATCTGCCACCTGGTAGGTACAGTTGATGTAAATCTACTCTGTAAGCCTTTAGTGATTAAATCTAGAGCTTTTAGTCATTTGCTCGGATGATAGAAGTTCACATTCCGAATTTACTGGTGACGGCGGGATCTTCCTTCTTCTCATGTATCAAAACAGTGCTTTCTTATTTTTCGGTTGCCCCGCCGCGGTGGTCTAGTGGCTAAGGTACTCGGCTGCTGACCCGCAGGTCGCGGGTTCGAATCCCGGCTGCGGCGGCTGCATTTCCGATGGAGGCGGAAATGTTGTAGGCCCGTGTGCTCAGATTTGGGTGCACGTTAAAGAACCCCAGGTGGTCGAAATTTCCGGAGCCCTCCACTACGGCGTCTCTCATAATCATATCGTGGTTTTGGGACGTTAAACCCCACATATCAATCAATCAATTATTTTTCGGTTTTGAGAGGAAGTCGTAATGTCTACGATCATATTCCTCTTTTGCTTTAGCGACTGCACGTTTAAAAGTAGCTGCTATAAATTTATAATCAGACCAGTTTTTAAGGGATTGATTGTGAATAAGCTGCTTCCAAGCTGCTTGGCAATGGCGGTGATCTCGCGTGCAATCTTCATTCCACCAAGGACTAGAGGGCGCCTTTTCAACTGATTCGACAGTAAATTCAGCTCGTTTATAGGCTCTTTTAATAATTGCATTCAGCTTCATCACTTTGCAATCATTACTCTCGTTGGAGGAAGTCGATAAAGATGATGTTAGGTTATCTCTAAATTTTTTGTAGTTCACAAAGACTCTGACCTGAGGGCGAGGAAGGGTTCTCGGGCAAGAAATTTCAAAACTTATAGGAAAATGATCACTACTTGTGGCACAGTCCAGCGCTGGTCGACATCGATCACGAATAAATGTGGGGGTTCTGCTGTTTATGCACGATAGATTATTATCTGTTGCCCACTCCCAGAGACGTTTACCACACTGATCAGTTTTAAAACCCCAGCACGTGTGATGAGAGTTAAAATTACTGATTACAATTTTATCTTTACGTCATGATCTGATTGCCATATCCGATTGCCATATTCGATTGTCTGATGTTTTGTACACCGTCCAGAAAGCACACATTAACTATGGAGAAATTGGCAACCGGGTAATGTGATGTCTATCACAAAAATTTCACATTATTGGGACATATACTTGTACGAGATTTTCGCCTTTAAACTGATTCTGTTAGAGATGAAAAATGCTAGTCCTCCACCTCTGGACGTGCGGTCTAGCCTAAACGAATGATAACTGATTAGATGAAACGGTTTATCTACCGAGAGCCATGTCTCCTGCAATGCAATTATATCTGGGGTGTATTTTGAAGACAAATATACTAGATCAGTTGTTGAAGAGTGAATTGATCTGCAATTTCAACGGAGAATCTTAATTGACCCTATTTTTCTGAAAGATTGCCTCCGGGACTGCCTTATCCAGAATGGTTTCTTTTAAGAAATCTATCTTTGAGAGACTTGTTTTGTATTTCAGGCATTTTTTATTTTTTGTATGCTTTGGTGCACATTTTTTCGATAGAGGAGACGTAGTTTGTTTTAGTGATCTAGGGTCCAACTCCATATCATCAGACTCCTCAGTTTCATCATTGCTTTCGTTCTGGTGTCATCTAGAGAGGGTCCTGTGTGGACAAGGTCAGACGGCGTGGTTGCAGTTTCTACTTCATTAATCGGTCGTGGAAGCTCTGCAGTCTGAAAAATTAAATAATTCGCCGGCGTTCCAAATAAGTGAGTCATTTGGTTGGTCGAAATTTGAGATAGAGTCTCACAAAAGGTTGCAGCAAGGCGCTCCATAGTCTTTTCTATTGTTCTTTCGACCACTTCCCCTATGGATTGAGACAAAGATGCATCCGATAATGTGGTATGACGGGCTGCTACCCCTGCATAACCCTGACTTCTAGCCTGAATTTCAGCTAAGGCCTCTTTTCGAGAGCGGCGTCTGCGATCTACGATTTCGAGAATTTGAATTTCTCAAGCCTTGGCAGAGCAACCTGAATTATCCGCACTGTGCGCTTCATTGCAAAGGCAAGATTTTTTCTCTTTGCTTTGACATTCATTTGCGTTGTGAGGCTCCCTACACGTCTGGCATCTAAGAGCGAACCTACAGCCTTTCACTGTGTGGCCATAACTCCAGCATTTTACACACTGCAGTGGTCGAGGTGAGAACAGTTCGACTCGATAGATAAGGAGCCATGCCTTGATTTCCATTGGTCGGCTCGATCCAGCGAATGTCACAGTCACCGACTCCGTAGGGACTTCGGTCTTACCAACAACACGGCTACACCTATGAACGGAGATTGCACCAGCTGCTGCGAACATCTCCAATACCTCCGATGGAGTCAAACTAATGTCTACGCCTCGCACAAACCCTTTCACACATGCTAAGTGATAAGGGATGAATGCGCTCACCGGGTTGGAGGCAAACACAGAACACTTCAGGAGGTCTTGTACACAAAGCTGGTCTGACGACAAACAGAGGATATCACCCTTGCCAAACTGCCGGACCTCCGAGATCCTCTGGTAATGAGCTGTGGCTGCTCGCAGCTCAGCTTGAATTGCTTTGGGATTCTTCATCCGTATGGTACCCTCATTTGTTGGGATCAGGGCCACAGGAACTGCAGAGATACCATTACGCAAGAATAGGTCCACAGGGGTCTCCTGCAGTGAAAAAGAAGCGGATCAGAGAAAAGCCCCTGGTCCGGGTGAGGAAAACCGCATGCCTGGACTTACAAGCACAAAAAGCACTCACTGATCGACAATAGCACTATAAAAACACTATAAAAAATTGAATTGGGCTGCAAACACACAAACTATGGCCACAACCCCCAAACCGAGTACGGCCGAAAACCTTGAGTGAACTGCCTTTTTTTTTTTTTTCGCTGCGAGCGAATTCACAGCCTGCAAATCGCTACTTTTTGTTTTATGTGAAACGGCCTTTAGGGTGAGTTAAGGTGAGTTTCTCTTCCTTATTAGTATTTGCTGGCTCTAGGTCTATCAAGCTTACATATAAGTTATATTTCAACATCTCAAATACAGTATTTTTTTTGTATATCAGGGCTCTGAAGGTGCAGTTGTGCCAGGTTGTGCGTTTATCGAAAGGCATGGTCATAAACAAAGAACTTGGAGTGAGATCGTTCGACAATGACAGTAAGTGACCATTAATTTTTTATTTTGTTTCAACGTGTACGCATGCATTTTGTTAAAAGTTCTGATATGATGGGAATCACGTGATCTTAAACTGGTGGTACGTGGTTTATGGTCGGTCTGTCTATGTTGAGGATAAGTGAAGTTTTTATTATCGTAGTGATGCCTTGGAACTGTAATGGGTTGCCTTCTCCAGTGCCTTTTAATGGCTCGTCCTCTTCAGCTCTTTTCTGACAGAACGCTGCCTCCAGACAGGCCGTTTCTCACCGAAAATGTTTACCGCCGTAAAATAGAAATCGACTTAGGGCACATATTTTCGTCTCCGAACGAAGCTTCAGCAGAAGTGCTTCCCTTGTACAACCGACAGCATGCCTAACCGACTACCATAGCGATAAGTGGCACATTTGTTGACGTCGGTGGGTTCATTAATGTTACTCAAATGGGTACAGTGGCGTACCAACTTCTTCGCGAGTGGTGGGGGGGGCAAGGTTCCCTTTGATATATATATATATATATATATAAGGGAAAAAGGTGCATACCTAAGGGCTCATTTTTCCGTGTTTTGGCACAATAATAATGATATCTAACATCGAATGCGTTATTCGAAGGTCGTAGGTTCGATTCCTGCTCACGGGAAGTTATTTTTTCGCCCACTTTTCTTTCTGCTTATTTACTTTACATTGGTTATAGTAGCTTCCCCTATACATTCCTTGACAATATTGTCTGTTAGACAACGTGTATATATATATATATATATATATATATATATATATATATATATATATATATATATATATATAGGCTGCGAACCTTGCCCTCACTTTGTCGTAGAGACTAATATTATTTGTAGTTCCCGGGAAGCTGTTCTTGAAAACATTGTTCAAGAGAGTTGAGCAATAACTGTCTTAAAGTGTGTTACCGAAAGATGTATGAAACTGCAGCTTGCAATGATGCTTTACGATGTGGGCTGCCAGGTTTCGGTTTGATAATCGGTCATTACGTTCCCATGTTCCCATACCGATTTGGGTCGCATTAGCTCTTGTCAAATTTCTGTTTAATGTTCTATCAAAAGATAAGATGTTTTCATCTACACAAATTGCAAATTTAGCGTTGTTATTGCTTCAATCGCACCTTTGCCAATTATAACGAGAGAAGTTTCCAAAACGCTTCCACGGGGCCTGCCACATTTATACCCTTTTTGGACGAACCATTCCATCTGCAAAGTAGAATCTTAATTGAACATTGTAAATAGGATGACTACTGAGAACTTCTCGCATACCGATTGCCATAAAGCCTTAAATTATCACTTTGTAGACGAATCATGTAGCTGTCCTAGCTAATTGTTTCAGGGAAACCTCTAAAATAAACTGTGTGCTATTTTTTAATTGTATGTGCCCACTAGTACAGCAAGAGCTTGTTCATTCGATACACATTAGTTCGGAAAACTCAATTATTCGGACGTGTTCTCTGGCCCGGCAGCATAAGTATTGGTTAATGGCACCAGAACTCTCATTGATGTGGTGAAATTAGGATGCAACCCGTTTATTTCAGGTGTTCCTCGGAGCGCACCAAGCGTGAAGCATGCAAATATGCTACGCAAAGGTAGGAAAGCAAGTTTCGCGGACAACCGAAATCGGCACTGCTTTCAGAAAGCCGTGGTCACCAACCACAATTGTATTGTTAGAGCGTCACAAGGTATTGAATCAGAAGACACTTCGGATTGGAACACAGGGGTCTTGAGCCGCGTTCACATTGAGAATGAAGTCTCAAATTATGAATATTGTGGCTTTGCAGTGTTCGTATACAGCAGCAACAACAAAAAAGCAACTTTGCAGGAAAGCATGAACCTGGGCAGCCTTTGTATTTTTCTCCCTGTCTGTTTTTCTGTTTTTGCTTATTTTTTCGTTGTTTTTCTCCATTTATTTCTTCATCTCTATTTATCTTTCTTGATCTCTATTTTTCTTTCTACTTTTTCCACTTCTCTCTCTGGTTCGCACTTGCTTAACTGCTGACGCGGCATTGCATTCTCAGACGAGGGATAGGGTAGCACGTGAAATTGTAGAAGTGTATCCCATTCACAAAGCAAGAAATTCTTACATTGCGAAACCCTCGGTCACGTTACTTGCCACTAATTCGGACTTCTGGGAAGCGCCCTTGAACTCGTATTTTGTTTATTCAGAGCTTTTTAACGTGTTCACTTAAACAAATATATATTTGTTTTTTTCAATAAATTCTGAGTTCATAGTTGGCACCTTGTCCGCGCTACATTCTCTTTTATTATTATGCTTTTGTGCACCCTCTCACTATGATGATCCTTTCCTAATGGCAAAAGGAAGTTTGTTTCGTAAAATCGTCTGCGTGATATGCAATCTCACAAATCTACGTGAACATATTGCATCTTTCCGCTTTCTTCCGCAACACTGTGAAGAAAATGCTCAATAAAACTGAAACTGAAAACTGAATCTGAAAGTTTCGTGTCCACAATAAACAGTGCATTACTGTGGTGAAGTTGTTGGCATTGTGGACCAATGTCTGTTTCGGAGCGTAATTAAAAAAGCATTCCCGGCAATCTGTCTGGCGGAGGCTTTTATTGCAATTGGCAACATGAATCCATGTGCCTTTAATAAATATCTTCAGTTGTGATATATCACAAAAGCATTGCATAAGCGGCCCACAATGCAGAAAGTCTACAGTACATGGAAGTGACACACGAAAAAAAAAAACCTTCTCAGCAGAAAACTGAGCCGTTTATGCGCATGTACTTTCTGTGAACTATTTGGGAATAGGGAGAAATAAGCATGATTAGAAACAGTTCAAAGCATTTGCAGGTGGGCAGACTTCGTAGTCTAGAAAAGTGTGGACTATCTTCCTGCTAAGGTTGATCAAGTCGCGGGGCAAACCTCAAAGCTGGGCTTCCCTCTGTGCTTTAGCCGACTGCTGTATATCTATCGCATCATTCCAAGCCACAACGATTTTTCTTCCTGCTATAGTACAAGTGAAGAGACGCTGGTCAATTGGAGGCTAAAGTGCAATCTATTTTTAGCTCTCCTGACTCAAGCCCCTTCAAAAATATTTCTACGTCCTCGTTGACTTATGGCAGCTAAGATATAGAGCAGCCTCGATTGAATTCATTTTCTAAGAAATGTAATAATTTTTTAAGGCGGGAAACAGCACAGGATCGGTCAATGAAACGTTTACTATTTGGTTCCCGCCTGCAAGTGCGTCACCTGTGATGTAAACTTCAGCTCAAGCAAACTCCCAACAACTGCATGGCAGATTGGTCTGACATTCTAGAGCCCCTGCTGAGCGGTGACTTCCTCTGAAGTGTCCGAGTGCAAGGCGCGAAAGCATTGCATAAGCGGCCCACAATGCAGAAAGTCTACAGTACATGGAAGTGACACACGGAAAAAAAACCTTCTCAGCAGAAAACTGAGAAAATTATGTTACGAAATGTTATTATGTATAATTACGTAGCTGCTACACTGAACGAAAATTTTCCCGCGGTTCGTTTCTCAGTGGGCAACCAATTACCACTGCCGAGACTGGGGGAACTCAGTGGGGGGGGGGAGGGGCAGCACCCCCCCTGCCCCCCCCCCCCCCCCCCCCCCCCGAGATACGCCTATGAATGGGTACATTTCAACTTTTTTTTTTTTTTGTTTCAGTGTTCAACGTTGCTGAACTTGCACAGATTCCTACGGACTACCTTTTCTGGAGCAAGTGGACCTTCCCTCTTTTTGCGTTCATTTCATTTTGTGTTCCAGCAATTTGGTGAGGGGCTTTTTGTGAACCCCAACAAAGGCAAGCCGTGGTAAGAAACTGAGTGTTTGCTGCCTCTTCTCTTTTGTTTCTCTATCTATTCAGCTCGGGCCAGAAAGTGGGAACATAGTGTTTATTAATGGCTAAAAGTTCTTATTTAAGACTTAGCAATGCGGTATAAAGCTGCATTTTTGATGGAAGCGAAAATGCTTGAGGCCCGTGAACTTAAAAATTGGGTGGTGGAAAATTTCTTGTCCTCCACTACGGCGTCCCTCGTAATCATATTGTGGTTTTGGGAGGTTAAACACTAACAAGTACTATAGGCAGTCAAGCTGTTCCTGTCTGGTTTATTGAATTTTAATTTTGCTGTTTGATTGGCTTGCTGTCAGATATGACTATACGATGGTTAATGTTATTTTAATTGCTAAATGTTAACAAGTGTTACATTGAGCTTGTCTATTTCAGTCATGCTACAGTATAATTTCCTCATGTACATAATTTTGTTATAAACCTTTGTGGGTTCATCAATATTTTTCACATAACAGAAGCTCTGCATTCTGAACCGGATGACTGCTCTATTTGTATAGAGTTTAATAACGCTGTAATCGAATGGACTTCAGTTTCTAAATTTCTCGGAGTTCTCTTTGATAAAAACCTGAGTTTCACGCAACATGTCATGAAGGTTTGTAGTCGACTGGCATATTGTTAAGGATCAGGCATATTGTTTTCATTTGGTTAAAAGGTCGTTTGTATCATATATTAATTCAATCTCACCTTAGTTACTGCCTACTGATATGGGGAACCACATGCCAATCAAATCTGAATCGGCTCATAAATCTTCAGAAGCAAGTAGTTTGCTCAATAGAAAACCTTGGATACCGCTATCATACGACCAATGTATTCTTAAAACATGGCCTTTTAAAAATTACTGACCTATAGTATCTTAGGCTTTGGACGTATTGTCTTGATTCAGTGCTGTATGCTTAATTATATTTTTAGTTTGCTACATTGTCAGTGCCACTTTGTGCTTGCATTTTTTTCTTGTTATTACAAATTGTATATGCATATACAAAATATTTGTTTCATGAAATTGTGTTGTTAGTTTGTTTTTTTTCAGCCATTTACATGTAACATAGTTATGTTTGCAATGGAGTTTGTTACTCTGTTGCACGAACTTTATGTATCCTTTGTGTTCTATGCTACTGCATGCTGCCCCATTGTTGGAGCAATGTATGGGTGGCAAGGTCTTAGGCAGACAATGTTCTGCTTTTGCCTTGCGATTCAAGACACACTCTGTGTCTAAAATAAACCATTTATTGTTGTTGTTGTTGTTGTTATTATTATTATTATTATTATTATTATTATTATTATTATTATTATTATTATTATTATTATTATTATATTATTATTATTATTATTATTATTATTATTATATAGAATGTTTTGATAACTTGCTTAGAGATGGTATCCAGCACTTTTCACCAGAATACAACCATTAATTTACTAGAAAAAAAGTGGGCGGTACATGTCCAATTTGCCCATGAAGTGTCCATGAAGAAGTGGGACAGCAGCTGTCCCACTGCCTCATGAGCACACTAAGTTATAATCTTTTTGCCAGATTTCTTGCTCGAAAAGGTCCAATTCAAGTGGTATAGAGGGACGCTTTAAAAAAGTGTCCATAGAAAAATTGGGGGTGGACTTTATTGCATAATTTGTTATGCAATCTGCACCTATGCCTGTTGTGCTGTGCCCAGTAGCTCTATCTGAGCTCTTAGCATACACCAAGTATTTTAGCTTTTTTCTTTCACTTTGGTTGATGTAGATAAGCACAAACACTGCAGTAATGCCTCAAGTTTGAAATTTTGAAAAGAAATCCTAATTTTAAAAAATACTCCATAGATGCATGCTAGAATTGCTTTTCTGAAGATCCAGGAAAGGAGCAAAGTACCATATACCTAGAACTTTAGCTATCCTGCACGCAATGTGACATCAGGTTTAAAAACAATTGAACAGCGCTCATCATATAATGACATGTATCGCAAGTGTGCAAAATATATTTTCTTGGTTTCTTTAATGTTTCTGTCACTTTGCAGCAAAAAAAGCATAGAGGCTGAGCTGTTGGCGACGTACAGAGGCGGAACAAGGTTTTACTGGAGAAAAGGGGGGACACATTCATCCCATTATCTTTCAACGGTTTCCATGCTATTTATTACATTTGAGAGCCGTTGACCATTAGGTTCTTTAAAAAAAAAGAAAGGGATATGCATCGTGTGCACAAATTTTAAGAATGAAAATTTTCATCGCTGTAGGATAATAATTTATCACATATTCCTTTCTTTTTTTTGACTATTCACACGGATGGGGAGGCTATTATAACTTGATATCATTTGTGGCTACTGATTGCATTTTTGCTCTTTCTAGAGGGAACACAACCAAAAAGAATACCTTATGAATTCTTCGCACAATCCTTACACCAGCAGTGGATACATAGTTCAGTCGGTTCGAGGCCAAAGGCAAGAAAAACTTGTGGACACAAACATCTGCAAGCTGATGTGCAGTAAGTTGAATTTATGTATAACTGCGAGGCAATGCTCTTAAAATAGTAAACTGCTATTTAATAAAAAGCATTGTTCATGAGATGTGTAGAAGTGTGTTTCTATTTTCAGTGCAAGAATTTTCTATGACTATTGATCATGTATGGTCCTTTATGTTCGTAGTGTATTGATTGTAACATTAAAGGGACACTAAAGAGCAAAACAATTATTCGCGTATTAGTAAAGTACAATATTACAGTTGCAAAAACACCACTCTTACCACGACACGATATTTGGTTAAAATAAAAACGCCGAAAATAAACTCAATTGAGACGCCACCTTGAGATTCCCGCACCAAACACTATGACGTCATCAATTTTTAAAGGCGTCTACTGGGTCCTACGTAGCTTCTAATTCACAAAATTGAAAAACATCATAATCTGTGGGTGCCATAGACTTAGCAAGCGAAGTCTCAGAAATTTTCTTCAAGCCAATGTCACAAAAATACGAGAAATACATTGTGGAACGCACGGAGATTACAGCACGAAAATTAAAAATGGAAACTTCAACCTTGATTTTCTCTGATAACAATGAACTTGTGACCTTAGAGTTCTCAGAGTGCAGTTAATCAATCTGAAACAACTCATTGTTTCTCTTTAGTGTCCCTTTAAGTAACTGTGAGCTTATGCCCACAACTCTGCAGCAAAGATCTAGGGATCATAGTAAAAGTGCCACTGCCTCATGAGCACACTAGGTTATAATCTTTTTGCCAGATTAATCTGCAAAAGATTTTTGCAGTTAATCAATCTGAAACAACTCATTGTATCTCTTTAGTGTCCCTTAAGTAACTGTGAGCTTATGCCCACAACTCTACAGCAAAGATCTAGGGATCATAGTAAAAGTGCCACTGCCTCATGAGCACACTAAGTTATAATCTTTTTGCAAGTGTTATCATGGATTACCATGATAACACTTGTAGTTATCTTCACGTGTATTCTGTAAGAACTTCCTTGGTACAAAATATTAAACAGACTTTAAAAAGTTTTTTTTTTTTCATTTTGAAAAATTTTCCATCTGTCATCTTGACTCCAGAGCCAATTTATCATGAGGGATGCTGTAATGGACATGTGCAGGAGATTTTGAGTTACTTTGTGATCATTCTCAGCACAATTCTCTCTGCATTTTGCTTGGCACTGCCATAGGCACACATCTGCCATGACATCCAACATGGCATGTGACCCAACTGCTTAGTGTGCTACATGAACAGTTAAGCTGCTACTTTGCTGTGCTGAAGCAACTATCGAGGTTTGATTCCCCAGAGCATTTCATTAGAGGTGAAAATGAAGAAGACTGTTGCACTTGTGCTTAACAGAATGAGGAAGAAATACATGCATTTGAAATTATCTTGAGATTCTAAATTCCGCTTGCGTTTATACAGTTCGACACATAATACCTACGTAATAAATTGAACTCAAGCAAACTATATATGCATATGTAGGCATTGTAGTAGTAGTAGTAATATTATATGTAGGCATTGTGCATTAGATAAATGTGGTAAAATATTATTTGTTTGAATGCTCAAGTGCCTTGGGTGTCACTCAGAACTACAGAACTACATTTCAAGTGCTCTATTTGGTGCCCTTGTAATATATCTCTTTTTGTTACTGTATAGTGTATTACTGTTTCCTTGGCTTTTTTTCTACTTGCAGCCACCCCAACAGGCCAGCAGGTGTCTACACAGGCACAGCTGCTGCATGAAAGAGCGCACGGGTGCGGCCTGCCACGTGCTCCGAAACCGGCATGACAGGTCTAGTTACCCGAAATCGCATGCGCGGCGCTCTTGTGTTAGTTATGACTGAGCACGTGCGTCTTCGTGTGACGCCCGAAATTTGCTTTTAATATTCGTCTAGTGTGTACCCATCACATAATTACCGATCTTGCTTGTACATACCTGCAGCCCATGATCATTTCGGTATTGTCTTGCCCGAAATGCAACCTCGCACACCGATCGGTTTTCGCGCAAGTAGGAATCAGGAGCACATTTTACTGGGATCCTAAAAGACCACAACTAATCAATCTAAAAGAGCTACACTTTTTCTAATGCATCGAAATTCATTGTAATAACTGTGAAAATGTCGCTTGAGATTTAATCATTTCATTTAGAGTAAGCAACCTCAGAAATTGCAGTTGCCACTGTTCATTTATTACAAAATAAGATAGACTTTTTACTTCCTCCAAACACGTCTATAGTATACATATAATACAGTACCAGATGCAACAACCATGAAAAAATACTTAACATTCGTGCAATCTCACGAATATAGATTTGAAATGCTTTAAAATTTTACTGACTGTAACTTCAATGCTGATGATTGGGGTAGCTGGTATGAAGTCAGTGAAAGAGTGATGAAAGACTGAAAAAAAGGAACACAACTGCTTGTATTCCTGCGCTTCTGAGTGCTTTCATCTCTTTCCGTCATAATGTTTTTATGATAATGTAACAAGTTCAAGCTTGAATTCAACAGTGAACACATATTCAGGTGAAATTGTGTGAAAATATTTTATTCATTCTCAATTCAGGGCTGATCTCTGTACCTTTTTATTTCTTGCTTTTTTGCACATTAAAGCTAGTTGATGTTTCCTCACAGCTTCAAAACTTTTCTTGGCAGAGGCTTTTGCATAAGCTTTAAAAACTGCTCAATCGTCACGTCGATGTTCCCAGTCCAATTGCACAGCAATGGTCGGAGCAACTTTTTTAAAAGTACCTCGCAAAGTTTCCTTGAATGCTCGCGGTCCTCTGCTTGGTAAATCAAAGCAGGACACCTGATGAAGGGCGGCAGTATAGTGCTGACTGGAGCAAAGTGCATAGCTTTCCAAACCTTCTCACTTCGACCGATTTCATGACCTTGTTCACGAAGTCGCATGTAAGTTTACAAATTCCGATAAGTGGTGGTGTTGGATACTTCAGATATCCTCTGTCAACGTTCTTTATCAGCCCACAGACTCCATAAATTGGATCAGATACTTGTAGCAGCGCCTTGCATTTCAGGCACATTAGCTGAAAATATCAAGAAATTAAGTAGTTTCAATGAGCAAGGCACAGCACTACTTTCCCAAGATTATAGGCACGATACATAAAAGCTTGATTTATTATTGGTTAGAACCAGTTACATTTCTGTATTACTTAACTAACGTGTTTAACAATGCACAAAAAAAAACAAAGAGGCTGAATCAAGCTTACATAATTCAACGAACCAGTCTTTTAACATCGCATGGCCTTGAAAAGGTTAGTTCATACCTTTTCATCACAGGCACGTACGAGGTAGCCGACGAAGAAGGGGATTGAAGCAATTTCCAGCTCATCTTGCGCCTGTGGCTATCTGTTAACTTACTCGAGCTCACTTGAACGCTCCCTGGCAGCAGATCGTGTTACAAGTGGTAAAGCAGGAACATCACTGTTTTCAGCTGGCAGGCTGACAAGAATGCTAGATTCAGAGCTGGATGGTGCGTTGCCTGTCTTTTCCACATGCAGGATTCTCATCTACGTAAAGAAGCACTAGTAAAAGTGTGATTCCTTGTTATTTATAACATTTCACACATTTAGTAGTTTTTTCGTGTAGAAGATGACTGTCCGAGCATCGACTCTGTCATTGGCACCGTTAAATTGTCTGAGACAGCTGAAAAACAACTCCACAGAATCACTGTTGAATCCCTGAGTCGGCCCCGCCGTGGTGGTCTAGTGGCTAAGATACTCGGCTGCTGACCCGCAGGTCACGGGATCGAATCCCGACTACGGCGGCTGCATTTTCGATGGAGGCGGAAACGCTGTAGGCCCGTGTGCTCAGATTTAGGTGCACGTTGAAGAACCCTAGGTGGTCAAAATTTCCGAGCTCTCCACTACCACGTCTCTCATCATGTGGTGGTTTTGGGACGTTAAACCCCACATATTAATCAAATTACTCCTCGGGTCAGAACATACAGGAAGCTGTCATTGGCACCGTTAAATTGTCTGAGACAGCTGAAAAACAACTCCACAGAATCACTGTTGAATCCCTGAGTCGGCCCCGCCGTGGTGGTCTAGTGGCTAAGATACTCGGCTGCTGACCCGCAGGTCACGGGATCGAATCCCGGCTACGGCGGCTGCATTTTCGATAGAGGCGGAAACGCTGTAGGCCCGTGTGCTCAGATTTAGGTGCACATTGAAGAACCCTAGGTGGTCAAAATTTCCGAGCTCTCCACTACCACGTCTCTCATCATGCGGTGGTTTTGGGACGTTAAACCCCACATATCAATCAAATTAATCCTCGTGTCAGAACATACAAAAAGCTGTTATTGGCACCGTTAAATTGTCTGAGACAGCTGAAAAACAACTCCACAGAATCACTGTTGAATCCCTGAGTCGGCCCCGCCGTGGTGGTCTAGTGGCTAAGATACTCGGCTGCTGACCCGCAGGTCACGGGATCGAATCCCGGCTACGGCGGCTGCATTTTCGATGGAGGTGGAAACGCTGTAGGCCCGTGTGCTCAGATTTAGGTGCACGTTGAAGAACCCTAGGTGGTCAAAATTTCCGAGCTCTCCACTACCACGTCTCTCATCATGTGGTGGTTTTGGGACGTTAAACCCCACATATTAATCAAATTAATCCTCGGGTCAGAACATACAGGAAGCTGTCATTGGCACCGTTAAATTGTCTGAGACAGCTGAAAAACAACTCCACAGAATCACTGTTGAATCCCTGAGTCGGCCCCGCCGTGGTGGTCTAGTGGCTAAGATACTCGGCTGCTGACCCGCAGGTCACGGGATCGAATCCCGGCTACGGCGGCTGCATTTTCGATGGAGGCGGAAACGCTGTAGGCCCGTGTGCTCAGATTTAGGTGCACGTTGAAGAACCCTTGGTGGTCAAAATTTCCGAGCTCTCCACTACCACGTCTCTCATCATGTGGTGGTTTTGGGACGTTAAACCCCACATATCAATCAAATTAATCCTCGGGTCAGAACATACAGGAACTTGGAAACAGTTGACGAGGCAGAAGAATGAATCAAATTACAAATGACGCACAGAGAAATTTCATGTTGATGTGGGGAAAACTAATCCAGCATGACTAAGGAGGTATTTTGTTGCTGCCACTGTAGACCTAGTTGTTAGCGATGTCACCTCATAAGTCTTCTTTGTGACCTTCTGCTTTGATCGACCTCTGAAAAGCTTTAAATCTTCAATATAGTTAATGAAATCAACTTCCAGCCACCAAACTCGTTCGTCATTTGTCCCGTAGAATGGCTCCTCTTGGTGACCGTGCGGCTTCAAACATCTAATGTCGTGCACAGCGTACCACTTCGCTACCATTTCCAAAAAAAAAAAATTCTGGCAAGGCAGTCCTGAAATTCTCGGGCATCAAAATGGCACTTGGGATTTTCTTGGAGATATTTCAACGTGGCTATAACAACTTCAAAGAACATTTGCCGCGCGCTTATTACTTTCTGTTTTTCCAATTTATTTGGCTCGACTTGGGCACGAGTTAGAAATCTTTCTGGCTTCACTAGCAGCTGAGACTGTATTTCAAACAGCTTTTTCATGTAGACACCGCCTTCAATAAGCTGGTCCCCGTCCAACAGCTCTCTTTCCAGAAAATTGTTGCGGAGATTACTGATCAGGTGGTTCTGATCAGGATAAAGGAAGAGTGGATCACCTACTCGCACTGGGTGGGTCACCGCGGGGCTAAGCATGCCGTCACTGAAAACTCACAGCGAGGCATTCGTTTGATCCTTGCCGGTCACAACTCTGAAAACACGGAAACCAACTTCCTTTATCACTTTCATCATCTCTGCAGTCATGTTAGTGAGTTGCTCTCCCTTCAAACACCAAGTAAAAAAATAGCCAAAGGTTATTACGAAGGGGGTTGAAAGTCCTCTAAGGATAAAACAAAGAAGGCGGTTTGCAACCTGAGGTGCTGCCATGGCATCTTGCTCTGATCCAGGGCCCATGTCGACAAGGCCAAAAATTTTGTCAACTTGGCCATTGTAGACGACCATTTGTTGTATTGACATTCTGTCAGTAATAAGGAAGCACATTCGTTCTTGCTTCACTACCAAGCCTTCTAGTTCCATATGCAGGCGTTCTTTAATGAGCGTGGTCATGCCAGCTTCACCTGTTCATTTACGGACGTACTTTTGTAACGTTCTGCGACAGGGAATCTTGAAGAGAGCCCTAGAATGAACGAGATTATAGCCTTTGCTAAAGCAAGCCTTCCAGAGAACGCACTCCCTAAGGATAGTCTCGCTATATGTCGGCTTTTTTTTCATAAAAATTGCCTACTTGATTTTCAATGAACAAAGCCGCTTTCTCCCCTTATTCGGCAGCTGCTAAGATGCTTCGTAACCGCTGCATTGCTTTGCTCTCAATTGTAAGCTCGCAAGCACTCACGCACTTCGTCATATCTGCCTTGCAGTCTTTGTCGCGTATTTTTGAGGTGAGAAATCTTGCTGCCGAGCCTATAAACAGTTTTCTTTGAGCTTTCTGTCAATCCATCAATGTCCAGGTCTGTTTGGCATGCAACATCCAACAACAGAGTGTTCTTACTGCTGGTCTCGCATGGTGTTCCACTCCTGAGAACATTAGAACCGCAAATATAGCTATCAGATTCATTTCCTTAGAAGCAACCTGCACTATCACAAGCCACAGCTTCACTTGTTTCAACTCCCACTCTTCGTAACACACGGGGATTTTTACTACACCATTGATACTCTCTTCCCTCATGTATGCGGGGTAATTAGGAAAAACTGAAGGAACTGAAGTTGGAAGCAGGACCTTGTACTTTGTTGTGTTGCGGTAATCGTCTTCTTTAAAATGAAGGGAAGATACCACTGATGAGTCATTAGGCTCCCGTTTACTTGCTTTGCCACAGGAACCTTGTCGTGAGATGTTCTGTAGCCACTGTGATCACCGTCCTGCGTCTGACGGAAATTCGTGGTAGTGGATACCTGGATTCTTCGTGTTGGGCGTCCGCCGCAGTACACAACAGTTTCACGGCAACAGTTCTGGGCGATGTTTTTCAGGGAAAATATCCTAGAGAGCATTGACAAGTTTGCGGGCGGCAAATATAGTTCCACTGTGAAACCGTTGCAACGTCCGTGAACGTGCTCCTTCAATGACTGCCAATCTTCAGTCTGTGCCATCCGTGTCATACGTGAGGTTTCTATCTATTGTATATGTCAAGTGCGTGCCAAGGAATAGCTGACACACACACACGCACCAGCGTGCAAAAAAAAAAAAAAGAAAGGTGCTCCATTCCGCACCGGACAAGCTTATTTTTACGTTTACACCAGCACGGCCGCTGGCTGCAAACGTTGCTGCATGCAGGAGTAGTGACACCATTTTACGGTTTTCTCTCACCTCAAGTGTTCTTATTCCTGCGGCTTATCTCTATATTTTTTGGAATGCCCACCTTTCAGCCTGCGGCACTTATGTCATTAGTTCCGGTTATTTACGAACACTGTCACCTTGCAGTGTCGTGCATTCTCCCGTAATGCCATGTGGTACTGATGTTTGTTTTCGTAAAAAGCACGTGCATCCGTACATATACACGGCAGCCGACGCACATGTTGAGAGCTACTCCCCGGGAGAAAGTTGGGAGGGTCATCTTGGAAAGAGCTACGGTAGAAAAAAAAATGGGGTAAACACTTCGCTATACTCCTTTTTGCTTACTTTTTACGCTATTTGTTATTGTTGTTTTTTTATGCCGCCGCTCGTGCACTTCACTGTAGGCTTCCCTGTCTACCAACCATAAAACCATCTGTTTTGGTCTGTTAGTCGCTCCACAGGCACTGGCGAATAGGTGACTGGTAAAATGGGAAATCGCAGGAAACTGTGGGATACGACGGCTTCCGGTTCGATGCACCACGCGGGTCAGCAGCGTCACGCGCACATTTCTGTACTGCTCTGTTGAAAAAATGCACGTGGCCGTGTAATATCAATGCTTTAGAAGTTTTTTTTTTTTTTTACCAACCCTGACTGTGACGATGACAAGCTACGAAAGCCATGAACGGTCTGGGTCTGGAAACTTTTTTGACGCACTAAAATGATCTGCAATGCTTTTATGCTGCTCGGGAGTGCTATCAGTTTGGCTAGCAGATCAGTCGATACATAAAACAGTTTTCCTTGTATGATACAATACTGCAGATAAAAAGTCACCATTTTAAATATTTCAGTGAATGAAAATGACTGTAGCAGTGTGGTAAGAGTTCATTTCAGGATCGCTGCTTCGGTCGACATCGTCAGTCGATCGGCATGAAGCGCAACACTTATTGAGCGGGTTGAGATATTTTTTTTTCTAGCCTTCAGCGCGCTATATCATGCATTTTTTAGGCGAAGCCAGATGCTTATTTGAACGCTGATCTTGGTCAAGCTGCACGGCACAGCGGCACTGAAACAATACAGTCAGACATAGACGGCGCCGAATAATCGAAACCCTGCGCTTGTTTAACGCACTTCTTCCTTTGGGTGCCGTCCTGGCACACAGTTTGACCAAGATAAACGCAAATAAACTTGTCCAGCGCTTCGTGTAGCTTACTCTTGAGTGAAGCTTTTGCGTTTGTCATGTATATCAGTGCAATGGGCGGCGCTAATCTCGTATGGCAGGTAGATTTCGCCCACTCGTTCCCGTAATATTTTTGCTAGGCGTGCTTGCGCGACAATTTGTTTCTCAATATAACATTCGCAGCAAATTCATGCGTAAGCTTTTTTTAGTGCAGAATACACAAGTACCTGTGATAAAATGGTTTTCGCATACCCTGGCCTCAAAGTTCGCACTCAAAAACTACCTGTCGCTGTGGCTCTCTTCACAGTCGCGGCCCACCTCGTTTTTGTTTTCATTACATGAGAATTGATACCTGCGTTCGCCTTGCACGCTCGAGTTGGAGCAGCCAACGGCTGAACAACCGACCATGGTTTATCAGGACGAAGATAAACGGGCAACCTAAAGCGCGAATCCCAGATAATCTGAGGCTTGCGGTGAAGCGGTTTGCCGTTGTCTACTCTTCTCGAACCGGAAGCCGATAGCAGGCGGTGTGTCCCACAATCCCTCGATCTTTTACTGGTCATCTATTTCTGTAGCACTCCAGCGTGCTTGTATTTTGGCAGTCTCTGTTGGTGTCCGTCATTTTGTTCTGTCATCTATTACTGTTTCTTTTTGCTACTGTGTATTGTTGGCAAATTGGCCTCGTGCTCGCTCCAACAGAGGCGTGTGTAGTCGACTGCCCAACAACAGACGTGTGGTTTTACGTGCTAATACATTTGTAAAAATGAAAATGTGGTTGTCTTATCAAAAAAAAAAAAAGAGACAAAACTGGGGAAGTAAATGTTACATAGAAATATAGCTTGATTTTATCTAAGTGATTTCGTGTGCACTCTAGTACCACCTATATACAGTCGACGACCGATAATCCGGACTCCACGGAGAACGTAAATAAGTCCGAGTTATTGAATGTCCGAAAAACGAATGCATCAGAAAAAAGTACTTTTATTGACACTTTAGTGACCTCGAGGCCGGGAAAAGTTGTCAGTGCATTGCTGCACGTATTCCACTTACTTGCAACCAAGTGCGTTTGTATTTCTGCCAGTGGTGTATGCTTACTGTAGGACTACAGGTGGGATGCCGAAACAATTACGAGCGCTCGAGACAAGTACGCATGCAACAGCTCCAGAGCACACAGTGTGTCGTCATCATCAGAGTCAGAATCGCTGTTTGGAATTTGCAGAACCTGCTCAATTATGTTATCGTCGTTCAATTTGGCACACGATTACACATCGCTGTCCACATTTGGGAAGTCTTCAAACGTAACTGCGTCAAGAATCGGCACACTGCAGGCTCGCAGGTCATCAGTAACATCCGCACTTGAGCTTGTTGTGCTGGGCGGGTCCGGGTCTTCAGTTGCAGTGTCGGGTTCTTGAACTCTCGGGCAACTTTGGCTTGTGGCCGACCACTAACCACTGGCAGCTTTTCCACTAACCAATGGCAGCTTTTCTTGCCGTGGTTAGCAATGTTTATGTCTGCTGCGTTTCAGTGTCATCGGTGCGGCCTTTGACGCTGGCTGTGGGGGCGCCGTTGGTGCCATTTGACGCAGATATTTTGGGACAGCAGAGTGCAAAATAAAGCCGGTGTCAACCCAAAACAGAATGTGCACAAAACTTAGGAGAATGCAGTACCGCAGACACAAACGACAGATGGGCGCCAATAGGGTTACTGTATATGCTACCTTTAGGTACTCAATCAAATACGTTATATGTCATCGCCGCAATAAATGAAGTTTAAAAAACACTGATTAGAACAGCGTAGGGGGGTCATTGTTGTGATAAGAACCAACTAATTTGCTGCGGTTTATGCGTTGAGGGAGCCGCCGCCACCTGTTTCCCCATCCTTCCTGTCCCCGCCCCATTGCGCCACAGTGGCTGTAACTGCAACTAGGGCTGACACGCGCTTTCCATAGAAAGCCGCTCGACGCGGCAGGCCGTACCATGTGCTTTTTTTATCCAGCCGCTGTGACCCAAGTGACCATTACAATAAAAAAAAAGAGATGTCTGTAATGTCATAGTTTAGACACACTGCAGAGAGGGCAGCTGCCTTGCAGAAGAAAATGGAGGCCGAGAAGGGCTTTCAAGTGAGTGCACTTTCCTAAACAGATTCCCTTTCAAGTGTGAATAACTAGAAAAAGCTTTTTAGCTTGACAATAAATTTGGCAGCAATCTCTCTTGCTGATGCACATTATAGTATTGGATGCCTTTTGTTTTATGTACGTATGGTTCTGCATTTCTATATGGTGGTGGTTGACAGCTTTAATTTTGTTCATACCATTATATAGCAGACAGTTTCTCGCCTAATGATTTTTTTATGGAACATAGTTATAATTATGGTTTAGAATAATTGTTGCAATATCTGTATATTGGTAACTATAGTATTGTGAGTAATGTAGTGAATGTGTTCTATTAGTAGTATGGCTGTATTGACGCACCGATGCAGCAGTGTGCTTTTTGACATGCTGGTACACAATATATACGTTGATGCACTTATTTCCCTGCTCATTTAAAATGGGACTCCTCAAAGTAGTCTGGTTTTGCTTCCTGCAGTTAGCATGCCGGAATCTGTCTTTCCAATAGATGCCTGATGATCACCACTAAGGACCCGTCTAAAATGCAAAGCAAAACAGAGCTCACCATGTGAAGGGACAGAGGACCCGCTGAAAGTTCAAAGCCTCACTAATATGTCAGTAATGTATCTTTTTTCTACTAATGTATGTATGTTACAATAAAATAAACGTTGCGAAGTTTTACACATTCTCATTAATTTGCATGCAAAGACCACCACGTGCTTCGAACGTGAACTGATAATAATGTTCATTTTAGGGCCTAAGCCTGGTATATAAGGTCCATCGTGTAGCTTAATGAAATCCCAAAAAGGTCCCGTATCAGAGTTTCAAGTGGGAGGTTCTCTAGATTTGTGCGGTACATTGAAAGCACATCCCGGCTAAGGTACTCGGCTGCTGACCCGCAGGTCGCGGGTTCGATTCCCAACTGCGGCGGCTGCATTTCCGATGGAGGCGGAAATGTTTTAGGCCCGTGTACTCAGATTTGGGTGCAGGTTAAAGAACCCCAGGTGGTCAAAATTTCCGGAGCCCTCCACTACAGCGTCTCTCATAATCAAATGGTGGTTTTGGGACGTTAAACCCCAGAAATCAATCAATGAAAGCACATCCCTCAGATTTTCGTGACATCCTTTCAGTGTCATCCATTGATGATCTTTGGGATGTCTATGCGTTGAGGTCAAGTAACAGCTATGAGTTTTTTAATAGGGTCTGCGGTGCTTTGGACACTCCCCCTATTCTATGCCATTCTAGTTTTTGCCGAGAGCCGTCACTTCAGTTGGTGCCGTCACATTTTGCTGACCCAAAATATTTGGGACAAGCTATGTGGCTCCCATACGGAAAGAGTACCAGAATCTTGGAAGAATGCTAACATCATCCTAATACAAAAGAAAGGAGATGACATGGACGTGAAAAATTACAGGCCGATCAGCTTGCTCTCTGTAGTGTACAAGTTATTTACAAAGGTAACTGCTAATAGAATTAAGACAACATTAGAATTCAATCAACCAAAGGAACAAGCAGGATTTCGAACAGGCTGCTCAACAATCGACCACATTCATACTATCAATCAGGTAATAGAGAAATGCTCAGAATATAGCCAACCACTATACATAGCTTTCATAGATTATTAGAAGGCGTTCGATTCAATAGAAATATCAACAGTCATGCAGACACTGCGGAATCAGGGCGTCGACGAAGCATATGTAAACATCCTGGAAGAAATCTACAGGGGATGAACTGCTACCATATTGCTTCATAAAGAAAGCTTCAAAGGCCTAGAGTGGGAACAGTTAGGCAGAAGAGTTAATGGAGAGTTCCTTAGTAAACTGCGCTTCGCCGATGACATTGCATTGCTGAGTAGCTCAGGGGACGAATTACAACTCATGATTACGGAGTTAGACAAGGAGAGCAGAAAAGTAGGTCTTGAAATTAATCGGCAGAAAACGTCAAAAGGGAACAGCGCTTCGAGATAGGTAGTAGTGCACTTGAAGTTGTAAAAGACTATGTCTACTTAAAACAGGTAATAACCGTGGAGCCAAACCACGAGCCTGAAGTAACTAGAAGAATAAGAATGGGGTGGAGCACATTTGGCAAGCACTCTGAAATCGTGACAGGTAGATTGCCACTATCGCTCAAGAGGAAGGTATATAACAGCTGGATCTTGCCCGTACTTGGCTACGGAGCAGAAACCTGGAGACTTACAAAAGTTAGGACGACGCAGCGAGCAATGGAAAGAAAAATGGTAGGTGTGACCTTAAGAGACGAGAAGAGAGCAGAGTGGATTAGGGAACAAACGGGGGTTAAGGATATCATAGTTGAAATCAAGAAGAGGAAATGGACATGGGCCAGGCATGTAGCGTGTAGACAGGATAACCGCTGGTCATTAAGTGTAACTAACTGGATTTCTAGAGAAGGCAAGCGAGTTAAGTGGAGACAGAAGGTTAGGTGGGCAGATGAGATTAAGACGTTTGCGGGTATAAATTGGCAGCAGCAAGCACAGGATCGAGTTGACTGGCGGAACATGGGAGAGGCCTTTGTCCTGCAGTGGACGTAGTCGGGCTGATAAGGATAATGATGATGATGGGGCTCCCGCTAAATTCGAGAAATAGCGTCTCCAACCCAAAATCCAAACGCGGTTTGGGTTTCGTGCATGTGCGGTGGCCTTGACGCTATTTCTATACGAAAACTCCCTAATGCCCCAAGTGCAGCAGGTAAGCACCTTACACGCTGCCATTCTATGTATCCAAGTGAACCAATAATTCTGCTGGCTGGTAGTGTTGTGGGCAATGAGACTTTGGTAGTGCATTCAGTTCAGCGACTTGCAAAGCGAAACTCCGGCTGTTTAATGTCAGTGCATGTCACCGTCATATGCATAATGCGGGTTTTTTGTGAATGTTATCACCGGTTTGAGCAGCTTTCGGCTCATTTATGACATAAATATCCTATATAATAGTAGGGGCAGGGCTGGGCAAGATGAGATACTCGGAAATGTATTGTGGAATACAGATATCGAAATACACTCTCTAGAAGCCTAAAATATACTGAGATACAATTTTCGTTAGCGTAACGAGAAATTTGGGAAATACGTCGGCTGAACAACAAAAATCATTCCCGAATAGAGACGGGAATACTAATGCAATAACACAAGGACAGATTTTTTTTTCTAATTTCTAGAATGCTGCCTGTAAGCAAGGACATTAGGTGCAGGATAATGTTGTCATTATTGTTTTAGCACGTTGAAACTTGCAAGTCTAACATGTTGTTCGAGTCACATTCGAACAGCAGTGAATTGAGAAAAAAGTGTACACTTCTAGACACTAGATTTGTATTGCTGAGATGGATGTTTCCGTGAGTGCTCATAAGAGTAGCTTCTCAAATGGGCTGTGATGTAAACAATGTCGGTTCGCCCTCAACTCAAGACAAGCGAAATGGATTACCACTCGAAAAAAATAAGGGTGCAGCACCTGCCTTGAGAGACTGCTACTGCGGCATCAGGCTTCGCCACATGGGTCATTCAGCACGTGGGGAGACCCTTCGCCACCCCCACTGTGCTGGCTACCAGCGACATGCCCTTGCTTGGCGTAGTACAAATGTCTTCCTTTATTCTTTAGAAACTAGGTCAGCAAATTTTTCTGGCAAAAATGTTACAAGATACACGTATGGTGATATCGTGATATTATTGTTTGATCTTAAAATACATTTTTCAAATGTATCTCGCTACAGATACACAAAAGCATCAATCTCTAAAATACTATCCTGATACTTTTGTATCGCATTACTGTTCAGCACTAAGTCAGGGAAAGAAAATAAAACGTAATAACTCCGACTTTTTAAACCACTGTATATGTACCTTGTCAACGAAGGTTTTTTGAGGCTGTAACCCTGGATCAACAAGACTATGACGTCGGATTTTGTACTTCCATGCAACAGCCTAGAAAGGAAGGGATCCTCCTTTCAGTTAAAGAGGTCTACACTGTTAAATACTCAATCAAGTGCCTCATATGTGCCTGTGGCACTCAAATAAGTATATATACATTATTGTAACAGACATTATAAGTTATGTAATGTAACACACATAAATAAGTAACAGACATTATTGTCAAAGAAAAACGAGCCCTTAATTTTCATTTCTTTTCTACATGTTTCATAGTCAATCAATGGAAAACTTTGACAGGCTTTGTGCACACAACAGAAAATAAGTGGCTGATTAACAATTACTTCCTTTAAATTGTAACAGCTTACAGCCCCGAAAATGTAATTGAGCTATTACAGAAATGGAATTGATTACTTTTGTGTTACTTTCCCTCAAAGTTTTATTGCCGTAACACAATGAAACAAGTCTACTCCAACTAGAACCAACTACTGTGGCTTGCATAGTAGTGTGAACGTAGGAACGTAGTGTGAAGGCTGGAAAGATTCTGTGTTACATCTTCTTAACTTCAGAGAGGAGTTGTTTTTCAAAGTTGTGGCCACTGATTCTTTCTCATTTTCTTGTTAGGAAGGAGGCCAGCTGCTGCACTGAACACTCGCGCAAAACAAGCTCGTCCATTTTCTCAGTCCATTTTCTGTCCATTTCTCAGTGTCCATTTTCTCAGTGAAGCATTGCACTTCGTTGTTTCGGGTTCTCGGGTAAGGCATTGAATTTAAGGCCAAGGAAAAGGTGTGAAATTATAGGCTTTGTATAGACTTTGTATAAGGCAGGAGGGGGTTAGGAGAGGTCCCTACAAAGCTGCTGTATATTTTGGGGATGAGAACTGCTGTAAAAGACAAATTGCATCTTGATTCTAGAAATTAAAAGTAATTTGCTACCGGTAATCAATTACAAGAAAATGTAATGGAGTTACCCAGAACATTCCAGTTTAAAAAGCATGATTATATTATAAAATTACAACAACATGTAACTGATTTCAATAAATCATTTACTTGTAACATGTTACGTACAACTCTGAACTAGTGCTGGGCTGAAATACTCAGAATAGTAATCCAGAATGCACTTATTGACATGTATGTGCTGGAAGCCTAAAATAAATACTGAGATAAACTTCTAAATGACGTAATGGTATATTTTGAAGATACTTTTGCCAATAGACAAAAAAAGTATCCTGGAATGCAATCATAGGAATGCAGATACAATAATACAGATAGTACTAAAATATTTTCAACTTACATAGATGCTGATGTTCTGGATTTTGATGTTCTGGATGAAGTGTAGCATATTATTGTCAGTAATATTGCAAATAATTAAAAACAGATGTCAGCCACAATGCTCTAATCACTAACAAAACGTGGTGAGTTCAGAAAAAGTATGCCTTTATTTTACACACATCATCTGTTTTGCTGTGAAGGTTGTTGCATCAACTGCACTTTAATAACAGTAGCCTCTAAAATATAGTTTTCTAGAGAGTGCCAGTTCAGCTTCAACACAGGACTGGGTAAATTGAAAAGGTTATCTATCATTGCAGGTGAACACAAGTTCGTGTTATAACTGATATATACCGAAATGCCACCCGGAAAAATATAGGGCTGCTCCACCGACCTTGAGAGAAATCTACATTCGTCAGCAGTGCCTGCTTGATTCTGGAGTTATTAGTAACGGACACTCTACCACATGGGCCATTCTATGCATGTGGGAAACCCTTTGCCGATCTTCATTTGTCACCGCCTAGCTGGTAGAGTGCCTTTCCTTGACTTAGCACAGAAGTCTTGTTTTGCCTTTTCAAATCATGTACGTCAGCTCAATTCAGACGAAATAGTAGTGAGATATACATGTCTTGCACAGTATCCTGATACATGCTATGTGTTGCAAAGTATTTTACTACTGAGATACAAGTACAGTCTTCAAATGTGTCTCGACTGAGAAATTCAGATACTCAAAAGTGTCTCTAAGATACTGTCGTGATGCTCTTGTATTGCAAATACTGCCCAGCCCTGCTCTTAAATGTATTATGTGGTACTTTCAGTTATTCGAAAGTAAAACAATGCAAGTAGAAAATAGACCCTAATTTTTCATGTCTTGACCAGCGCGTCTAGTTCTTCAAGGCATCTTACCCTCCCATACTAATCTTGGTTCACGCCAAAAGTTAAGGAAGTGAGCACGAGAGCACCCAGTCGTAAGTAGCTAGACAAACAGACAGACCAAAAGTGCTTGCAGTATGCAAAGAAATGCTTCGCATTTAATAACCTTGTTTTAATCTCGTAGCGAATATCAACTGCTACTTTGGCGATGGGTACATATGATTGCAGCTTCTTTTATAGTTTAGTGCTCTACTTTATTGCTTTTAAATTACTTCTGCCTCAAGTAATAGTGTTTTAAATACATGTAGCTCATGTTTGCCCAGCCTTCAATGAGCGTCCATCTGCTTAATTATTTTTATAGTAATTTGCAGGCATTATTGTATGTGCACTATATTTGATGTAAATATTAATATATATATGAGATGTTAAAATGAAGCTTTAAATTCCACGAATGGTTTGGAATATTTTGCCATCTGCTTCGAAGAGGCCAGTAACTTTTCCAAAGTAGAATTTTTTTCTGCTCCAACAAGCAAAGTGTCACTTCCATCACTGCAGAAGAAGGTCCCAATGTAAAAACTGTCAAGGAGATCTCCTGTTAGCAAGCATATGAAAAAACTTTGAACAAAGGTTGACAACTTAGGAAAAATAGCAAGCGGATAAAACAAAATGAATGCAATGACGATAATTGTCCAAATTCAAAGGTAGTTCGAACGTGTACATGTGAGTAAAAGTACACCGGTGATAGAACTGGAGATAACTAATTTAATAAATCAGAGATAATAAATCAATATAGTATCATAACACACACATATCATTATCTGACACAATTTGTCATGTCATAACTTGTATATATATATATATATATATATATATATATATATATATATATATATATATATATATATATATATATATATATATATATATATATATGAATTTACACATGCTGTAAAATCTCATTAATTCAAACCTAAAGGAGACTTTAAAATTGTTCTAATTAAGGAGAGTTCAAATTAAAATCTGGGTGCCAAAATTAATGGACATCATGCCACACTACGCCCAAAGAAGCCATCTCTAGACTCGTTATCACAAAGTATATTTGTGGCAGGAGGTGAATCTGTGAATGAGGTCCGTGGAGCTCTTACAGCAGACAATAATTAATTGATCAGTTCTAAAACAAGCACCAACATGCATTCATGTGAGCCTGAAATATATGATGCCCTTTATGCTCCGAAACACGTTTATTTAATATGGCAGAGTTAGCTCAATTTGCATTTGCTTGCATTTTTCTCTGTCACGATTTCGTGTGCATCATTCGCAGCTTGCCCAAGAGATCCAGTGGACCCTCTGAATCCTCATCTGCTGAGAAACACTGCTGTTTCATTGTTTTGGATGTGCAGTAAATTTGGTCTGGTTTGTTTTGCAATGCATTGTGGTCATTCGGGCCCAACTGCAAGGAGCGGTGAAAATCAGGAGCTATTAGTTCAAAATAGCCACTGTGATGCTGACATGTTCGAATTATCAGAAGTTTTCCCTCATAGAAATACGCAGGACTGTGCCGAAACCAGGATGTCAGTTCAGATTAACCAAGTTCAAAATAATGAGCTTTTACTGTACATATTTATTCATGTAGCCCATGTGGTAAGCACTGTTTTATAGGCCACTAAAAGCAGTGTGATGAAAGACTCAACTTAATATTTGCTCGTAGAGAACCCCAGGATCAAACTGCAGAAAATAAGGCTGTCATTTTACCGTAGTTTGTGTTTACTTTTGTGAGCAGAAGGTTGCTACTTTCCGAAAATCGCGTGTCATTAGTATATTGTGAAGATATGTTGAGGAAAGCGTGTCAGTGAGAATGTCACTGATACGACTTCTTAACAACGAAATACAATGGTTGAGTTGAAACATAAAAGTTAATTGTAGAATTCTGAGAGTGCGAAAAGGGATTTTATTGATCTATGTAATAGCACGTACAATACATGACTGAAGATATACACAAAAATTTCTGGACATACAAATTCATGCACTATACTATATGTTCAGATCAGACTATTTGGCAGTTCCTTAAAGATCCAGATCACAAAGACAGGAAAGAATAACTTGCATCATGTTGCTGATAATAACTGCTGAAAACACTTATGTATAAGTGGGGAGCCATTGAATATAAAAAATTTGGCAGATCCCACACCTTTGGGAATCGGTTTCATGTGAAGCATTCAGCAATTGTCTATGCTGTATTTTTGGCTTTGAGCCAAACGTTATGAGGTAGATTTATGTGTTTTCATAAGGGTAACATTGGGCAAATAAGATTACCATGAATTCCATTGCACATGTTCTCAGCAGATTATAAACTCCACCTACCAACCCCCCACGATATTTCCCCATGAGGATCGAAATGCACTGATTTTCACACCATGTGACTGTTTTTTCAGAAAATCACAGTGTGCGATACTGCTTTCGTTTTGCATTACCACACGATTTGGAAATGTTTATCGCATATCTAGAATACCTGGATAAAGTGTCTGTCTGTTCTGACTGTCTAATAAAGTGGTATTCTCAATGAAAGGCAGAAAGCAAAGATGCCAGCAGCTTGCATGGGATGCAACAATGGAGAAAATTAAAAAGACCTGGTGTACTAAAGGCATGACGATTGACCACTGTAAGTACCAGCTGGCTACCCTGCACTGTGAAAACAGATAAAAGGGGATAGAGGGAGTGGAGTTGTCAAAAAGAGCAAAGAAAAACCATACCATTTTCATAGTTCGCAAGGTAAACAAAAAAATTCGTGCCACATTTATAGCCTACAAAATCCACAAGTGTGGAAACACTGAAGCAATATCTTTCAGTTCATTGCAAATTGATCTTGCGGTGATTGCTTACGGACAGTATGCAGATACCGTAAGAGCTGAGTCAGGAGAAACAGGCTCTCGCAACTTTCTATTCCATCAAGGAGCAAGCACAGTTTATCTTTTTTTCATTTGCCCTGTGTCAGCTATGACAAAATAATATTACAAAAATGTGTACTATACTGTTTTGAATGCTATGAAGGCAACGCCACAGATTCTTGCAACAGCGCCAATATTTCTAGCAGAATCTGCTAAGAGCTGACCAAATACCATATTTTAAATTACTTCAATTGGTACATTGAAAAAAAGATATTGTTACAGGGTTTGTAAGTGAGGTTTATTTACAAGGAGCTGGCTAGCGAGTGTCAGCCAGTACTGCACGCCTCTTTCTTCCACCTCTGTTGCTGTTGTCGCTGCTCCTCCTTCACTAGTTGAAACGTTGCTCAGCGACGTTTCAACTAACTTTTTGTCAAGTGTGCTTCATCTGCAAGCGGAGCAATTTTAGTGGGTCTAGTCCATAGTGAAGGAGGAGCAGCAACAACAGCAACAGAGGTGGAAGAAGGAGAAGAACAACATGCAATACTGGCTGATAGTCACCGTCCAGCTCATTGTAACTAAACCTCACTTGCAAATACTGTAACGATGTATTCTTTACACTAGTAATAATTAAACATACTACTACACTTTGGGAACAAAGCCACTCATGCCAGTAACAGGACTAATTATGGTGAGCAATCTATGAAATACCAAACCATGTTGCTTAATTCTTAATAAATTCAAAATAGATTTGGACTTATATTTTGATATTATTCCAAACCTCTTAAAAAACAACTGAAAAGGGTTGTGGTAAATGAAGCACTTGCTTCCAGGGTGTCCTATTACAATGCATGCTTTTTCCTATATTGTGTATATATAGGCAGTTTGTTTGTTTAATGACCCGTCGTGCATTTGTTTTAAAGTTTTTGTGTTTTTGTTTTTATTTTTGATATAAATATTGTGTCATATGAGGTGTACTTGAAATGTGTTTTCTTCTATTACATGTTGTTTGTTTACTTCTGTACAAATGAACCTTTTCTAGTTCCCTTACTAAGTGTTGCTTGAAATTGTTCACCAACTATGAACTTATCGATTTTTTTTTCATCCCACATTGACAAAATATCTGTATGCTGCAAATAATACACTGCGTATTTGGTAGTCAAGGCTTCTTTATAAATCCAGTACAAAAGCCTTTTGTAAGATATAGCTATACCTTCAGTTTCCTTACCTTTCTTGGTGTAATTAAAAAAAATTAGGTAACTGAATCGGAATATTAAGCAATATCAATAGCATTTTTCTTGACTCACAGTAATGGTAAACTTTGCAGAGAAGGTGTGCCTGTTTCACCTCCTCAGAGCTTTTTGCAAGCAGGGCTTTCAACAATTTAGGTTGGTGACATCAGTTACACAAATAGCTTTGGGCTGATTTTCATCTTACCATTATTTTCTAAGGGCCCAAAAAATTAATGCAAAATAGCTTGTACATTTATTTTGGACAAACATCTGACACTTTTTGCACCTCGTGAACAGTTTTGAACCAAACTGGTTTTACTGATGCAGAAGGACTCTATAAATGCTGTGGTGAGTTGAAAGAGCCAAATTCAGGTGCATGTTATGAATTCTAACACTGACAGAATTCATCAATTTACACTTGTAGAGAGAGTTCAACAATGTGGAATACTATAAAATGCAAGCAAGTATTTGTGTTGTTATCTCGAGCACCAGGCCTTTGTTATTTATAGATTTTTTGCTAATATAAATTTAACTGATCTTGTAAGGTGTGCACCATATATTTCCTTATTACTTATAGCAAAGTTATCTTTTTACAAGACTCTGAATGGTTTGTATAAGTTAGTGATGCTGCTTTCTTTTTTCATTGTATGCTGGTATTTTCCACAGCAAAGTCACTGCTAATTGGCAGTGGGCAATGGGACAAAAGAAGACGGAGAAGAAAATGAAGGGCTTGACCAAGGTAATTCGCCATATTGTTTCGAGAGATATTTCCTTGATGAGGCATTAGTGGTGCCAAACCAGAAACCAGGCACATAGAAAAAGGTGTTTCAGCTCCACGAACGTCAGCAAAAAACTGTTGAAATACAGCTTACCGGGAGGTTCTTATTTTTCTCTCTCTCACTGCCCATTTGCAGCGATTTTGCCGTAAGTTGTCGTTGTGTTGCACACCCCAAGATGCTACGAAGTATGCTTTACTGGATAAAACTTGACATTTAAGACCAATTTTGAGACGGAACTTAACAATGTTTTGTTAATTAATGGTATTAAGTTGTGATACATCATTGGCTACTTGTTGGGCTAACTGTTACATTCTTCATCTTGATAGACTGGTGGTCAGCTGTAGGACTGAAGTGCTTCGTTCCTAAAAAATATGAGTTATCGTCTTTCACGCCAAACATAAAGGTTCAAGTGTTGATCATGCATACACTGTGTAAATATCAAAGCTGTGTGAATAGCAAAATTTTTGGGGCAAAGTGAATTTCAATATTGAATTGTGAGTGCAGATCAAATGGTATGTTTTTCAAATTTTTCTAGAATATTTCTACAATATTTTTCTAGTACTTTGATGCAAAATAGTAGAAAAAAGTTGAAGAAGATTTCTAGGTATATTTTTGTGAGTTAGTAGCATGAAAATGTTTCTTTTGGTTAGGTTGATGAAGCACTGTTGGGCTGGCATTCCACTGTTGTCTCAACAAGAATGAAGCAATGCAAAGGCCCAACTGCATGTATGTTCATTATTTGGTGCAACCAAAGCCAACAATACCTTACATGTGAAAGACAAAGAGGCTATTTCCTCAGTCCCTCCACCTCTTTCAAGTTCTGTGGAAGCCAAACTGATGTAGTGGACAAGAGATTGCTCTCTTTGAGTCTAGAGTTCCGAATCTGCCTCGTAGATGTCGGTATATAAGAACATCTGAAATTTTGGATGCCACAAATTTTTGGTGTTTTATTTTGCAGACTTTCTATCCTAATTTCATGTCTAAAATAGCATTTATCAACTCATCGTCAACTCATCCTCCTGGGCCTGCTGGTCAACTCATCCTAGCGTCAACTCATCCTCCTGGGCCTGCTGGTTTACACACCTGCCCGTTCGGCCAATGTATGATTTTTCACAGCCCAATGGCGATTCATATATTACCTTCGCCACACAGTCTACGTAAGGCCTATTGTACTTGGTTCTACAATTTGTCTTCTGTTTAACATCATCGGGAATATGCACACACAGCTTGGACAGCTTGTGCGGCACTGAAAGGACGGTTGGCACATTGTGCCTAGTTGCAACTTTCTTGAGGTTATGCGCTACTTTGTAGGTATAGAGGATCACCTCAGGCCCCATGTTGTTCTCATGTGTGGATTTTTTTTTCTCTTCGAGCCCTGGCTTTTTACCTTCTGTAGCAACGACTCGGCGGTAGCCACCAGAATAAGGTCAGAATACCCTGATGACTGCAACCGTTGCACTTGCTGATAAACTGTCGGGGCTGCACGAACGCATGACTTCTGGAAAGCAGATTCTACGCACATAAAAGCGATTGCACGCTTCACAGTCTTTGAATGAGCTGAATCAAAGGGCAGTAGCAGTTTGCAGGAGTGTGGATTATAAGCTCGACATACATGCGAGTGAGAAATTGTGAGCTTCACATATAAAAACTGCAACTGCCCTTCTGCCAGAGTCTCATGTGAGAACGGCAACCCCTGTGCCAAAAAATTGAAAGATTCTAAGATCTCATGCACATCACCGCTAAAAGCACTAAAATCAACGCCATTCACCTGAATACCCTCCTGCTTCCTAAAAACCACTAAAAAGTCATCAACATATCTACACACGGCAAGCACCTTGTCTCTATTAAAAGCACTCTTCAAACGCCTGCCCAATGCCGGCAGAAAGATGTTGCATAGGACTGGTGCTGTGCAGGAACCAATGCATATCCCATGTTTTTGCAAATACGTCTTGCTGTCAAAGGTCACAACGGTGGAGCGTACATAAAATTCTAGAAGCGACATCAAGTTCTCAACAGTAATCCCAGCTCTATTTTGAAACACTCCTTCCCAATTTCTTTTAATGCATTTTTTCACCGCAATGAACAATTCCTTATGTGGGATAGTGTAAAAGAAGTCCTCCACATTGACAGAAAAGAAGTATCCCACCAAATCATTGTTGTGAACAAGATCTATCACATGAAGCGATTTTTTTGTTGAAAAAGCGTCGTCAATGTCCAAGCTATGTATGCTTCATAAGGTACCTAGCTGCTTAGGTTCAGCTGCCAGGATCCTTTCTCACTCACAATTGCTCTAAATTGCACACTCTTTTTTTGCGTTTTTGTTGTAAAAAGTATGGACAAACAATTATATTTGCTTCACAGGAATGGACTTTGCCAATTTTTTCAGCTCAAGCCATGGCTGCACTTAGCTACAGCTTTCGTCTTTGTCTTAGTCAAACTGGCTTTCACGGAAACAGAGTTTTTTTGAAAACGGCCGAGGCAGCTTTTCGTTTGAAGCAGTCTAATGGCATTACAACAAACATTCCTTCCTTATCAACTTGAAGCAACCGCAGACTGTTTTTTTTTGAAGAACTGTACAAATGGGCCAGTTGATACTCTGTGTCGCTGAGTAGGCTTCTCCTTAGTTGAAGCCAAAAGGCTGTCTACACCCTCCAGTAGGCACCTTTCCTGCTGCTTTTTTTCTGTATCATTAGCCACTCTTCTATTGATAGCGAGAAGCTCATGTCTAGGAACATGCAGCTCGAGACAAAACTTCGATCCCACTTTCAAAACACATGAAAACAACACGAGGCCTGAGGTGATCCTCTACATCTACAATGTAGCACATAACCTTAAGAAAGTTGCGACTAGGCACAATGTGCCACACAAGCTGTCCAAGCTCTGTGCGCATATTCCTGATGAGGTTAAACGGCAGACAAATTGTGGAACCAAGCACACTAGGCTTTACATGAACTGTGATGTGGGGGTGGTATATGAATTGCCATTGAGCAGAGGAAAATCATACATTGGCTAAACGGGCAGGTGTGTAGAGCAGCAGGCCTGGGAGCATGAGTTGACGCTCTCAAACGATAAGGGCGCACATCTTTCTGTGCACTGTGTAATGTGTGGTTGTGTGCCCTTGTTTGCTAGACTGAAGGTGCTGAGACACAGCGAGGAAACAGTTGCATGTGAACTGTTGGAGGCGTTCCACATGAAATTGAAGGGTGAAGATTGCATCAGCCAGATGGCAGTGTGTTTGCAGGAGTGCGAATTTCGATTGCTATGCTGCAATATGTTTTATTTTTTCATATTAGCAGCTTTGCAATGTGCGCAGCTGCGTTTGTGGCATATGATCTGCATTTTTTTTTTTCACAGTTCTTTTGTAATGAAATTAGCTGGTAGTGAGTGCCTGTTCCTGTCTACTTGTCTCCCATGTCTCGTCTTTTTTTTTTTTTTTTTTGCACTCTAGACAATGCACAAGCTTGCTCAGCCATGCATTCTATGTGGAAGTTACATTTTCATGTTTCTTTATCACTTATTTTTTCACTCTGCAAGTTTGATGGTCACCACATAGCTACGCCTTTTTGGCTTTGTGTTTTTGATATGCACATTTCTTGTTGTAGTAATTTCTGCAACATCACTGTCAGAAGTGTTTACTATTGCTTCCAATGAGTGAAAAAACTTGGTTGTCTTGCAGATTAATGGCCTAGGCTCTCTTCGACGTCAAAATGTCAAGGAATTGCCTTTGCACTGCTTCAAAGGCCTGCTGGACTGCCTAGAGTTTGTTGGTCAGCTTGGAGCTGTGCAGGGCGGCTTCCCACCTCGCCAAGAGAGCATCTGCATTTATACTTCTAGCTTTAGTCACACATTTCCAGAGCATATGCTAAAGTATTTACCTATTGATATTAACTGAAAGCCAGACTTTATATTTTATGGCTGTCTTCTGCTACATTTGTATGTTTTTGCTTGGCATAACTGTTACACCATTCTTTTTTTTTTTTTCTGAATTGTTTTGTAATAAGCTCTATCATCCTTCTGCCAATAATGTGAGACAATTTGCCATAGATTAAATGATCACACTATCTTCCACCATAATGGTTATTAAGCAGAAAGATAGTGTGATAGTTCCAAGATATAGAAATAACTATGGTACATGTAATAAAATCTTAGCTAACTAAACTTTCATTATATCTAGTATCACTATCAGTGGACTTGATGGGATGCGTCATACATTAATAAATGTAAAGGTTATTTATTGTGACTTTATAATATCAAATTTTATTGTAATTATTTGTGGAAATATTGTTGGCCTTTGAAGACAATCTAACACAAGTAAAGTTCTGCTAACTGCTATTGGCAATATTTAATATTGTGCTATTAAAGAAAGACCCCCCCACCACCAGCACTCACACTATATGCATTTAGGGGAAAAAAGCTTACTTTCATAGATACAAAAAGACAATCTAACACAAGTAAAGTTCTGCTAACTGCTATTGGCAATATTTAATATTGTGCTATTAAAGAAAGACCCCCCCACCACCAGCACTCACACTATATGCATTTAGGGGAAAAAGCTTACTTTCATAGATACAAAAAGGCATATAGTGTTATGCCTTAAATGTGAGGAACAGCTTAAAATAATGTATGTTTGCAATATTATTCCTGCAGGAAATATGATGACGATATATAGGGTTTTATGGTGCAAGGGCCAGTGTTGGCCAAAGAGCACCAGGTCATGGGACATTAGGATGTGCTCAGTGATGGTGTTTAGCAGCTGTATAAGGGCCTAAAATTCTGCACACTAAAAGTGCATAAATATATAATTATTAAAACAATAAGAGTGACATGATACATACACGATGAAAATGAGTGAGAAGCGATCAGGGTATTAAAAAAAACAGTGTCACATTAGCATGAGTGCCTTGTCAACACCCTTGAATTCAAGGGCTGAGAGGCTGGTGCTTTCTCTAATAAATGCCGTAGCAGCAAGCTCTATTGAAAGGCTGCGAACCCCTGGGCAAAATGCAACAAAAGTTTGTGCATCTTTTAAAAATTCTAAAAGCAATTTATGATTGAAAAGAGGTTTATTTCCTTAAAGCATTGATGGATGAAGTGAAGGAAAGGAGTGGAAACTTCAAGGGCTCGTTTTCTTTATTAGACACAATGTTAATGAGAGCTAACAGACGACATTGCCAAGGAAAGTAGAGGAGATCTTTTTAGTAATAAATGTAATGTAAATGTGAAGAAAGAACAGTGGATGAAAAGATTACTTGACGTGGGCAGGAACCGAACCTGCGACCTCCGAATAACATGTCTTAAGTTCTACCAACTTAGCTATAATGACAGTTAGATCACGTTGACCTTAGTGGATATACACGTGTATTAAAACGTGCGAGCATCAGTCAGCGCCCCCAGTAGCAATGATGGCAAGCGTTGAATACTCTTTTCTTTCTGTTGGCATCACGTGGCACGTGATCTGATTACGGGCCGGCAGCTGGCCTAAAGATGAATATTACGAAGACAAAGACAGTGCTGAATACATAGCCTGGTAAAAGAGAATGAGTTCAAGAGTGAAAACCACAGATTGGAGGGTATACGAGAATATGCGTACCTTGGGCAACTACTAAGATGAGACCTTAATGAAAAAGAAATTCGCCATCGAATAAGAATTGGCTAGAGTGCATTCGGCAGATACCTCCAAATAACGTCGGGCAATTGGCCACTTCAATAAGAGTGAAAAGTATACAGTCGCTGCATACTGCCAGTTCCAACATATGGGGCTAAAACACGATGCCTAACAAAGCAAGCAGAGAAAAAGCTGAAGACCAAGCAGTATGCAATTGAACAAAAAATTACAGAAGTAGCATTAAGAGATCAGAGAACTACAGAATGGGTCAGGGAAAGAATAGGGATTGCAGATATCCTAGCTGACAGCAAGTGAAAGAAATGGACCTGGGTTGGCTGCATAATACATATGACATACAACAGGTGGACAGTAAGAGGGACAGAATGACTACCATGCGATGGGAAACACAGTCACTGCAGGCAGAGTTGGATGGAGTGACGAAATTAAGAAGCTTGCAGGGACAAGATGGAATTGACTCACTCAAGATAGGGTAAGCTGGAGATCATTCAGAGATGTATTTGTCCTGCATTGCACGAAAACGGGCTGTGAATGATGATGATTATGCTTGGTAGTATTGTTTGACTAGTTCTGAAAATCATAAACACAATTTCGATAGGATCGATTATTAGTTGACTTGAAAGGACAATTCGTTCCAACTGTGTATTTTTAGTACAGAGGCTAAGCTCGATAGAGATTTACTATATATATGGAGATGGTAGTGTCATCTACACACAACGCGAACTGTGCAGAGCTAAGATGCAATGGTAAATCGTTAATAAAGTGCCTGGGTCGCGTAGTTGTGGCAGGACAACGGTTCTGTTTGCGATGGTTTGTTGCGGCGTGGCTGGCCTGGCTGGCTGAGGCATGGTTGGTGACATTTCTGATGCATCCTAGTTTTCATCTTCAGCAGACATAGTAGAGAGAGGCAAGGAGTGTCTGCTGCGGAGAATCGTCGTGAAAGGGAAAGCTGGTAGAACACGCGCTCTCCACCAAAATGTTACGGGGAGAAAAGGTGTTGCAGAATATATTTACAAGGCATGTACAGACACCTAACGCCAGGCATACAAGGCAGAGCCAAGTCCACGCAGATATCAGGGAGCATCATCTTCCTCTTTGCTGTCTTCCTCTTCATCTCAGACAGTGCTTTGTAGCATCATACATTGAAAAAGAAAAGGGACCCTGTATGAATTGCTGTGGTACACCTTGATTAATAGTCTTGGTATTGGAATAAATTCCTCTCATAAATACAGTTTATTCTTGTTAAAGAGCCTCTAAACCACCCAGAAGTCAAAATTTATTTCTGGTTTCACAATTGAAAAGAAGTATACAACGAATAAGTAGCCATGAGAATTTCTTGAAACTGTGCTGCAATAGCAGAGTTACACCTGTCTTATGATCTAAAAGAGATCTCGCTCGTTTCGCTTCTTCCTTTGCTGTGCTTCATTAAGCTCATCTCTCCTCCAGGCCGCTCCTCTTCACCGTGCGAGGAAGAGCAGTTAGTGCACATATACTTGCATGCATTCTTTTTGTGGATGACATGAGCAGAAGACAATATTGACATCACGGCGAACGCACAATATTACCAGAAGGTGTGGGAGGAAACAGGATGGTTTCTTGGAAATTGTGGGGCACGTTTGGCTTATAACACTGCTGTGCTTGGCATTGTTTATTGTGACGGCATTCTGCACACGATTTGTGTTTACTTGAATTGTTTAAAAAAAAATATCGAAAATGGTTTAGGAGCTCTTTAAGCAATTATGTAACCTTTTATTAGGCTTAAGATAGTATTAGTAATACCAAATGTCTTATTATAAAAAAGGATGTTTTGAATAATAATATCAGAACCCTTAGTAAAGGACAAAAAAACTGACCGAACAAAGTTATCATTGTGAAACAAGGGGCACGTGTGGTCAGCTTGGGGTAATTATAGCTAAGTTAGTCGAAGTGGCAGTGTGAAAGCCATATCAACAGGGATTTAATAAAGTAAATTTTTATATAAGTACCTTAACACTTACAAAATAATTTTTGAAAGTTTTGCAAATTGATAAAAGAATATAAATAGTAGGACAATAATTAGACACTTCAAATATATCACCTTGCTGTAATACTGGAATATTAGCCTTTTAGAGCAAGCTTGGAAAAATACCACTTTTGAAAATAAGATTAAATATAATACCAAGTGTCTCAGAAATTGAATGGTGCAACGAGTTTTAAATGCAATGGAAGAAAAAAATGTTATCTAAACCAGTGCTAGTGTTCCTCGTAGCTAATGCCATGGCACTTACATCAGCATTCAGTTCAGTTACAGGGGAGAGGAATAAATAGTGATTACATTGTGTGTCTGAATTTGCAGAATATATTTGACAGCTCTTGTGTACAGTTGAAATCCAATTTAACAAAGTGATAGGCACACTCGAATTGCCCTGTTAAATCAGGAAGTTTTCAAAATTGAGAAATGGATTTTTCGGTCCCTTGAAATCAACAACTGTAACATATAGTGACATCCAAAAGCTAACACTGTATTTTATTTGCTGCTAATCTATGCTTTAGCTTAGGTTAGTGGTGAATATATCAGCAATTTTTTCATGTTCCCATGATCGCATGTTGGAGCTTTGCACACCAGGTAGATAGTCACGTGAAGCTATGACAAGTTGCCAATATTCAAAGTTAGAAAGAACGAAGGCAGTGATTGTGCGAGCAATAAAGTTGCAAAGAGATGAGTCATCTTTGCTTAAGCCATAAAATGACAAAAGCAACAACAGCAGTGCTCCTGCGGAAGCATGCACAGAGACAATAAACCACCACCACCCCTAGCCCCATATGATACGTTAGGGTGCTACTAACTGCTGAATATATTACAGCAGCCTCGCAGAAATAGTACTAGGGTTGTGACTAGCGCGGCTAGATATCTTAATGTGATAATGTTGGAGTACACGCTAAAAAAAAAACCCGTCTGTGTGAAAATTAGAAAGCACCAACTTTTTAATTGGCTATTCAATAGAAAACTTCATTAAATTAGTCTTGGTGCTAAATTAGGTTACCTAATTTGAGCAAATTACAACATTAAACTCTCTGGATATCTGCTGGGGAATGGAAGCTTATTAGACTGAGAACTTTGTGAAAGCGAGTTTCATTAGATGAAGTTATAAGTGTATGTCATAAAAATTATCACTGAAAGAATTTTTTTCCTAGATGTATCAGTTATAAATTTGTATTCTATATGTCTGTTAGTTCACATTATTGTAATAACAGTTGAAATATTGGTGTTCATCTACCTATGCTGTCCTAAACTATCATTAGTCAAGATGTTTGCTTAATATTGAAGTTGTTTTTCTAATTATTTATTTATTTATTTTAATACCTCAAGGGCCTCCGCAGTGGAGGCATTACATGAGGGGTGGTACAAAAGATACACTTGGTACGAGCATAGAAAGGTGACGTGAGCTCCATGATTAACTGGATAACTAGTTCACAAGAATTCTAATGATGGCGGAAGAACACAGATGACTGAAAATTTTAGAGGTATCATAGTCGTACGTTTGAGCTAGAGAGACATTAAGATGGGAGTATTGAAGGGACAAGAAGCTGCAACAAGAAATGTCTATGGAGCCAACATTTCAGCAAGTAGGCTTGACTTTATGAGGGCAGCAATTACTTTTATTTGCAGTTTTTTTTTATGTGTGCCAAACTTGCTCTTTCCCTGCTTCAACAAGGTACGAGGAGGAGAGAAGAGTGAAATCAATGTACTCAAAAATAATCTTAAAACGGAATAAAGTTGGGGACAAGAAAAAAGTGAAAGCTAAGGAGAGGTTTGGGGGCTAGTATAGTTGAGGCAAACAAGAGGGGATACTAATGTTAGGTTCTTTAGAAAAAAAGGCAATAAAAAGCAGATCCAGCGAGTGTTTCTGGGTAAACAGCTACCACTAATCTATTGCACTTGGTATTTTAGGAAAGCAGGAACTATGTGCATACTAATAACCTGGAATCTTTGCTTAAAATAAATAAAAAGCGAAAAAAAAGAGCTGGGGACATGTAGGTTGTTCAAGTCATGATTTTTTGTAACCGCTTATTGTACCTAGGTGGGTTTTTTTTTTCTTCTTCTTCAAGGTTGGTTAGCATCAACTGAAGAGCCCCTTATAAGTGTTCAAATTTTGGGAGTCAACCACTCCAATGCACACCTCAACTTTCTGCATGCAGATTACCTGAAGCATAGATTAGCACAAATATTTTTACATAGGTGTGTCATCAACCACAGTACAGTTGCACTGTGCACAGCTGTCTAAAGACATTGTACAAGGCAAAGGCAAATAAAAAAGTTATAAGGCACATCATGAATATTAATGAACAAAACACAAATTCTATGGGCATACAGTGCCAATCTTTTATGTTTACTGTTTTCCACCCAATATCCCCCAAAATATGCCTCACAATCGAAAATGAAAACCAGGGTTTTGTTTTCTTATTTTTATTACCTGGAATATAGTATAGTACTTGTGCATCTGCACCATGACAATCTGAGTGAAGGTAAGGGGTACCAGGGGAATGGTTTTGCAGCTAAAGAAATATGTGGAGTGGTAATTGGATACAGCACTTGGCATGGAATTTAAAAGCATGGTATCATGCTACAGCAAGCAATGGTACATTATGGACTACACTGAAAAAGTCAACAATGCACCATTTTGTGGCTGTCAGATTAAGGACTAGTCCAGAATTGCAAGTGCTGGAGTCACATATATGTGACAATAAAAGATAATTTCTGTGTGCATGTAGCCAACCTGTTCATTTGATGAATAATAAAACTGGTACATTTATTAGAGAACATTTCAATAAAGGAGTAAGTCCTATACAGTGCAACATAGTGCCAACATATTGTAAATAACCAAACTAAAGTCATATAAATATTGTGAGTGCAGATCTCAATCTAACTGAGACTGATGCCTTGTGACCATAATAATGAAACACACAATTTGCTTCGTTTGTTGTGTAGGCCTGAGTCAAACAGCAGTGGCCGCTCATCGCATGGACTCAGATGAATCTCGGTTCATTCGCCGCCACCCTTACCGTGGATCAGCTTCTGGACGCAAGATTACATGCTCACACGCAACATTATCAGGCCTTCCGCAAGCTCATAATCTTCTCCTGCTGTGCTGGTAAAAAAAAAACAAGAATGGCTCGGTGCAATTTGGCGTCAATTATAGAGCACTCAACAAAATTACCTGTAAGCACGCCTATCCTATGCCTCGGATCGACAATGCTCTTGATACATTACAAGGTGCCAAATACTCTTCAAGTGTCGGCTTATTGTATGGTTAGTGGCAGATCCTGATGCACGAGTCCGATAAAAAGAAGACTCTCTTTGCCACACCTGATGGACTTTTTGAATTCAGTGTAATGCTTTTTAGGTTATGCGATGCCCCTGCCACATTTGAACGAATGACAGATGTGGTGCTGCAAGGACTAAAATAGAAGACTTGCCTTTGCTACCTGGACGACATTGTCATCTTTTCGTCCAGCTTCTCACAGCACCTGGAACGGCTAAGCAAAATTGTAACATGTCTCGCTAAGGTCAGTCTCTAGCTTAACACTAAGAAGTGTCAGTTTGCCAGTCGCAGCAGCAAGATGTTAGGACACGTCAGTAAGCATGGCATTGAGCCCGATCCCGACAATATTGCTGAAATACTGCATTTTTCTACACAAATCACACCTAAAGACCTTCACAGCTTCCTTGGCTTAGCGTCCTACTTCTGCCAACTTGTGCATGATTTCGCTATTATCGAAGCTCCTCTGCAGAAACTTCTGACCACGAGTGCACTTTTTTTCTGGTCAGAGTGCACTTTTTTCTGGTCACTCTCAAGTGATGCCTCGCATCACAGCCAGTGCTGCGTCATTTCGACCCTGCAGCATCTATTGTCCTACACACTGACGCAAGCAGACATGAAATCGCTGCTGTTCTGCTTCAGCGGAACTACGCTTCCGAAGAACAGGTCGTGGCCATGAGGTTCATGCAAAATTTTCGCCCTTATTTATACGGCCAGCATTTCACAAATGTCACTGGCCATTATGTTCTGTGTTGGTTATCGTGTCTCAAGAATTTGATGGGACGCCTTGGTCGTTGGGTGCTGCATTTGCTTGAGTATGACTACACCGTCTCATATAGGTCTGATCAGAAACACCAAGATGCTGACGCTTTGTCGTGCACTTCCCCCAGAACCTCCACTACTTATAAGACAACTTCTGTTACGGCAGTAGCAAGGTAATATTTTAACCCTTTTAGATGCTAACTATCTGTAAGTATGTGAAATCACTACAACGTTACTTCAAGGCACTCAAATTTCTATTGTAATAAAGATAACATGATAATTGTTGAATCTATGTGTGTTATAGTAAGTCGTTCAAATTAAGTTGCAATTGAATATCTCTTTAACCTGAAGTCATTGATGGTTACTTTTGGCATAAATAGAATTTAATCTCAGGCTAGAAATATAGTGCAAATTTATTTTTGGTTATGTCGATTGTGAGCAAGGGAAATTTCTGCTTTTCACATTGTTTTCAAGAAGCTGCATGTCACACGACTCGTCAATCGTGGAATGTCTTCAGAAAAGTGATCATATGTATTAGTACACTGCAAAATGAGGTTAAATGAAGACAAATTAATCATGCAGAAGGTCCAATTTGTCTGATGTATGATATATCTTGCTTTTTTTTAGCCTCTACTTAATGCAAATAATGAAAACGAGTGGTGTACACAAGTGTATACATTACGTCTGAAAGGGTTAATGAAGTTGCACAAGGCAAAAGCAGTGCAGCTCGCATGACTAACGATGCTAATATTTGAAAGGTTTTTATATACAGATGAAGACGATGGTCTACCCAGTCATCACTCACAATATTAGCCTTAATATACATCATGAAAAGGGCTCAATTAAATAGACGATATCAACGGAAGCAGCAAAACTGCAGGTTTTCCTATGCACTCTTCATTACATCTTTTGCTCGCAAAAGCAAAACAGTTTTGCTTTTCATAACACAGACTGTATTTTTTTCAGTGTTTTTTTACTTGTACCCCTGTCCTCTTCCTGTTAGAATCTGTCATAAAAATGGTACAATAACCAGTCCTATAAGACTGGTGATTAAAACAGGAAAAAACAGAAGCAGCTCATTTTACGGGGCCTGGAAAAGTTTTTATAATGTCATTCTCATCTTTTAAACACACAACGCAGGCCATTTTTTTAAGTATGTAAACAAAATTCTAAATGGAATGTCCAATGCTTTTTACACAGCCATGTTTTTGTCAAAGCACTGCTACAAAAATTATTATCCCAAGGTGCTGTGTGTCTACAAAATGCCTCTGAAACCTACACAAGCATTAGATTTTCCACAACAATTTGCTATTTTTCTAAAAGACTGTAACAACACTGTCACTTCATGCAGTGGTCCAGCCACAAAAGTTGGCAGGAACAGCATCGTGGTGGCCTAGCTTCGCGATGCTGAATGACCTTCAGGAATATGCTAATAAAGTAGTGCTGTTTGCTAAACTTGTCAAAAGTTGCTTGATATACATCCCTGCTGGCTTTCAACTATACAAGACTGCATTTCAGAGATAAAGTTGAAAGCTTCCCGAGTCATATATTCTGGTTAAAGATGTGAATGCACATAATGCCTTCTGATAAGACCATCGCTGCGGCGCTGCCTTATAGAAAATGTTCTGTTTTTTTCAAGTGCACACATATTAAATACGAAAGAGCCACTGTACTATAGTGATGCACATAGAGCATTCTTCTCCTGAACTAAGAATCATATCCAGTGGTTTTTTTTGCTTCATATTTAGCAGAAACTTACTAAAAACCTATGTTGGAGCGATTACCACCAAATTTTTAAATCCTAACAAAGCAGGATAGGTTACCTCATGCCTCTTTATGGAAACTTGATTTAACCAACTGAGCATTGCTATAATGACTTGCATATCTAAGCCATTATATCATTGTTGTTTTTAATAAACACAATGTTGTGGAATAATATCTAACTAGTTTTATAATCAACACAGCTGAACAATGCGAAAATGCTTGAGGCTCGTGTGTCTGGATTTAGGTGCACATTAAAGAACCCCAGGTGGTCGAAATTTTCCACTATGACGGAATGGAGCATCTTCATTCCAATTCCATTGCGGGGAATTAGAAATGGATAACAAAATCCATTAAAGAAATCTGCTGGTATTAGTTGGAACAGGGCACCGCTCGGGCACTTTCTTTGCCTTTGCATCAAATACGGAACACTGGGCCACTCTGCTCGCCAGCACTCACACTTGTTGGTGATTCTTAGTTTAGGGGGAAGAAAAAGGAAGAGGAGGGAAAATGAAGGAAGAGCGCTCGATAACTGTCTCTGTTTAAATCATCTCAACCAAAACACTCGTGGAGGTGAGGTGAGAAAGAGAGAAAAGGAGAAGTCATGCACACCTCATAAGCATGGATGGGGCAAGCAAAACTCTCTGTGTTTGCCTATGCACAGGTATGCATATTGTCGCAAAGGTAATTACTTCTTTCCCTCAACGGGGGCACCATCGAGAAAAAAAAACACAAGGCGTTAAGGGGAGTATTCTGCCACTAGTTTTTTGTGTGTGTGCGTGACATATACTTGCCGTTGAGGCATAATGTTTTGTGCGTATATGTATATCAAATGTGTGTCGTTAAGCTAGTGCTGTGTATGAAGTCCAGTAGTCCATGCTACAGTTACAAACGGCATAGAGCCATGGTTACATGAAGAATAGACAAACTTCAGAGCAACACAGTCTATAAAAGGACAGAATTATAGTAGGCATGTTGCTTATAAATGTACCCTGCATGTAATCAGCCAAGCCATTTCAAAAATACTGCTTTATTGTTACATTCGAGGCTCTGACGTGATAGTGTTTCAAATTTAAAAAACAGCGCATAAACGAAAACGGGCTCCATTTTCGGAAAAAAAAAGTGTAGGTCTATTCCCATCCTATTACGCGCTAAAAGTGCTTTATTCTATTCCCATTCCATTCTGGAGTCACGAAAATATGGAATAATTCCAGAGTCATTCCAATTTAGGAGTGGCAACTCAACACTGACTGGCACACACACACATACACACAAACAAATACACAAACACACACATAAATCACAATGCAATAATGAGCCATAAATTTCTTTTTTGAAAGGCAGAGTTCACTCGTAAGAATAGCTTTTCACACTGTACTGAAGGAGTGCTTCACTGCATATTGCTGACCAGCCTGTGACAGCACAAAATCGCTTCCTCTTGATGTGGCTGAACTCTCATAGTATTCACCCCCTTTGCTTTCTTTTAGCACAAGTCCGTTCACAATCACTCCATGAGAGATCTCACAGATGGGAGAAAATTGGATGAAGTGCACATCCCAACCACAGCCCAAATCATCAACAGGCCTGCATAAAAAACGAAGAGTTGTATGAGTTGCAATTACCTGTCTTTTTTTTTTTTTTGCAATAAAACATATCCGACAAATTTTATCGGTCTTTCCTTTTTGAGGTGTTAATGTGAATTTCAAATGTGCCTATGCTCAGTGTTTGTTATACTGGAGCTACTCTCATGTTTGACATCTGCTCACATCACATTGACTTCACATAACAAGATATTTAACTTGTCCTTGAGTACCCTTTAATCTACTGTGACAAAAATGACACAACAAAGAGTGCCAGAGCGTGTTCGAAGACTGTGTTCAGTACCAGTGATGCATGCATTGTCCCAATCACTATGATATGGTCAGAGGTTTCAGTATGCATGCTCAGCAACAGCATTTGTCAGTTAATTTGGTTTTTTAATATCACAGTTATCATCATTATCATCAGCCTGACTACGTCCACAGCAGGACAAAGGCCTCTCCCATGTTCCGCCAGTTAACTCGGTCCTGTGCTTGCTGCTGCCAATTTATATGTACGAACTTCTTAATCTCATCTGCCCACCTAACCTTCTATCTCCCCCTAACCCGCTTGCCTTCTCTGGGAATCCAGTTAGTTACCCTTAATGACCAGCAGTTATCCTGTCTATGCACTACATGCCCGGCCCATGTCCATTTCCTCTTCTTGATTTCAACTATGATATCCTTAACCCCCGTTTGTTCCCTAATTCACTCTGCTCTCTTCTTGTCTCTTAAGGTTACACCTACCATTTTTCTTTCCATTTCTCGCTGCGTCGTCCTCAATTTAAGTTGAACCCTCTTTGTAAGTCTCCAGGTTTCTGCTCCGTAGCTAAGTACTGGCAAGATACAGCTGTTATATACCTTCCTCTTGAGAGATAGTGGCAATTTACCTGTCATAATCTGAGAGTGCCTTTGTGGGTAGCTTGTATACTACGGAGAGCAAGCTGATCAGCCTTTAAATCTTCAAGTCCTTGTCATCTCCTTTCTTATGTAAGATGATGTTAGCATTCTTCCAAGACTCTGGTACTCTTCCCGTCAGAAGACTCCTCGTAAACAGGGTGGCTAGTTTTTCTAACACAATCTGTCCTCCATCTTTCAGCAGATCTGATGTTACTTGATCCTCAACAGTAGCTTTGCCTCTTTGCATGCTCTCCAATGCTTTTTTGACTTCTATCATTACTGGTGGGGTGTCATCTGGGTTACTGCTAGTTCTTTTATTATTAACGTCTTGGTTGTACCGACAACTGTACAGATCTCTGTAAAACTCCTCCGCTATTTTAACTATCCTATTCATATTGGTAATTATTTTGCCTTCTTTGTCCTTTAGTGCATACATCCGATTTTTGCCTATCCCAAGTTTCTTCTTCACTGCTTTGACGCTTCCTCCGTTTTTCAGAGCGCGTTCAATTCTCTCCATATTATACCTTCTTACATCGGATACCTTATGCTTATTAATCAACTTCGAAACCTCTGCCAGTTCTATTTTGTCTGTTGTACTTGAGACTTCATGCTTTGATGTTTCTTAACGAGATTTTTCATTTCCTGGGAAAGCTTGCCAGTTTCCTGTCTAACTACCGTGCCTCCAACTTCCACTGCACACTCCTTAATGATACTCGTCAGATGATCATTCATTGTATCTATGCTAAAGTTGGTTTCCTCAATAAGAGTAGAGTACCTGTTCTGAAGCATGACTCTGAATTCCTGTACTTTCCCTCTCAGTGCTAGCTCATTGATTGGCTTCTTGCTTCTATGGTCACTGTATCGTACCTTGCCAACTACTTCCTGCACGATGCCTGGGTGTGCACTCTTTATAAAGTCTATTTCGTTCTTATTTTCACCATCAGGGCTCTTCCATGTCCACTTACAGTTTCCTCGTTTTCGGTAGAAGGTATTCAAAATCCGTAAATTATTGTGTTCTGCGAATTCTACTAGTAGCTATCCTCTGGCATTTCTAGTACCGATGCCATAATCTCCTACTGCCTGGTCTCCAGCCTGCTTCATCCCTACCTTTGCATTAAAGTCTCCCATCAATATAGTATACTGTATTTTTACCTTACTCATTGCCGATTCCACGCCTTCATAGAAGCTTTCAACTGAAGTGTCATCATGGCTGGATGTAGGCGCGTAAGCCTCTACCACCTTCATCTTGTTTCTCTTATTGAGTATAATTACAATACTTACCACCCTTTCAGTAATGCTATAGTATTCCTCTATGTTGCCAGCTATATTTCTGTGAATTAGGAACCCCACACAAAGTTCTCTTCTGTCAGCCAAGCCTCGATAGCAAAGAACGTGCCCATTCTGTAGCACCGTATAGGCCTCATCTGTCCTCCTAATCTCACTGAGCCCTATTATATCCCATTTAACACCCTCTAGCTCCTCAAATAGTACAGCTAGATTTCCCTCACTAGATAAGGTTCTGGCGTTAAACGTTGCCAAGTTCAGGTTCCAATGGCGGCCTGTCCGGATCCAGAGATTCTTAGCACCCTCTGCTGCGTTACAGATCTGACCGCCGCCGTGGTCAGTTGCTTCGCAGCTGCTGGGGACTGAGGGCCCTGAGTTCATATCATAATGATATCATAGTAACGCTGCTTGTTTCTTCTATCAGTATTGATGGTTTTCTCAGTGTAAATCTGGTTACAGTCAGCACATGAAGTCTAGCAAACTACACTTCAAAATTTATTTATTGGTTATGTATTCTATACATCCGTCATGCTGTGTTTCATTTTCCTTGTTAGAACATGCACATTGTACTAACAATTCAGTACATTCATGTGTGCACAGTATAGCCATACATATAGAGGCTCTTGAAGGGGTCCTTAAGTGCATTCATAACATAGTTAGAAAACCTAACTTATTTCTGTAGCTCCAGTGAATATGTGGGCCAAATATTGTTTCACTACCCCGGCACGGTGTTCTAGTGGCTAAGGTACTCGACTGCTGACCCGCAGTTTGCAGGATCGAATGCTGGCTGCGGCAGCTGCATTTTCGATGGAGGCGAAAATGCTGTAGGCTCGTGTGCTCAGATTTGGGTGCACGTTAAAGAAACCCAGGTGGTAGAAATTTCCGGAGCCCTCCACTAGTGTCTGTCATAATCATATGGTGGTTTTGGGACATTAAACCCCACATATCAATCAAATATTGTTGCAAAGCATGCAGCAGTGGAGTTAGTTTCCTGTTAAAAATAGCTAAAATCATGTGGTTTCTCCTTTGAAATGTCGTCAGGAAATATGTAGCAGGCAGGCAAATGTGTCCATCAGGTACATGAACGGATCCAGAGAAAAAAAAAAGGAGGGGGGTGGGGGGTCTGGATGTCCTGACCCTCTTGCATAACATTTGAATGCGTGCAATTAGTATAGTATTTGACACCTGTTCCGTTGGATTTCAGTACTAGACTTCCCGTAAGCTGACTTTAAATAAAAAAACTCTATCTGCCCATGGACAGATATTGGCCAATTTCATGATTGTCAAAGCATTCTGAGTAATAGCATTGCTGTTGACATTTAGTTAAATAGATAGGCTGGCAGAAGGAAGAGGAGCTCTGTCTCACTCACTCAAGAATTATCTTTTGTGCTTAGCACTCGCTCAGACTCGACGAAAGTTTTCCTTGAATGCACCCACTCAAACTAACCAAAATATTATTTACCCAGACTGACACAGACTCGCGGTTGTCTGGGTGAGTTTAAGTGGGTCAACTAGTAAGTTCGTTTGCCGACTTATGGTAAGTATCATGTATGATATCAAAAGGAATAACAAAATACTTCATATTTTTTCTTCCAGTCCAGACTGATTCTCGACTACATATCTTCTGTTTTCCCCTCCATTTGTATAAGGCAGCTCCTGGTGGCATGCTCTTCTCATCACTGAGTGCCTGAGTTGGTCATTTGTGTTGTAATGAGCTCACTCTGACAGTACTCACCAATGCATATCATCATCTTCAAAACCTTTGGTATGCTTGCATGCCAGTGCACGCTAGGTCTCTTCTTCATGCCTATATAGTCAGTTAGACACCTTGGCAGACATTGCTTGATATCCACCTAATTGAAAGTGCTTTAACAGGCAGAATCTGTTTTTGATATTACATTTCAGTCAAGCTTGTATATCACAAAGCTGGCCAGCACCAGGTACTACTCGCAAAGCTCGTTCAGAGTGCAGAATGCAAACTTGCACATGGTGCAAAAGAGTTGTGTGTCGCTCACTTCTGCTGTGTTGTGAAGGTACCATGGCCCCTACAGCATGCTGCCACACACTATTACACACAACATTAAAAAAAAATGCTATGACAAACAGCGAACATTTTGGCAATTGCCATTTCCCCTCTCATTCTCCTGTATAGCTTCCAGAATCTCACGTCAATGACAGTCAAGAGAAGGCACTCTTGTAGTGTCATAGCTACCTTTAAATCCGTTTGTGCTTGACAGATTTGAAAAACTTTGCAACAGGAGGTTCGTGAGGCAACGGTCAAAATATAGTACAGTCATCCTCTGGCTATTTAGATATGTGTTACAAGGCTCCTTTTGTGAATAACAGTCAAGGAAAAAGTCTATAAATTGGTGCTGCATTGATACCATGAGGAAAAACAGGTACCCACTGGTTCCCAAGTACCGAAAGACAAATATTTAAGGTGAGCTTTGATGATGCTCGAAAAAAGAATCCCAACGGCTATGTATGTTGACTTCTTGTAATAATAAGAACTAACAGACATTGATAGGAAGGAAGGTATAGGCGATGGGATTAATAGTAATTGTAATGTAAGTGTGAAGAAAGAAAAATAGAGAAAAAGATAAGTTGCCGCTGGCAGGGACCATACCTGCGATTTTCGAATAAGGTGTCTGATGCTCTACCAACCGAGCTATGGTGGCAGTCATCCCTCTGTCCACTTTATAGGATATATATGTGCATTTAAACGTCGGAGTGTTAGTCAGCACCACTGCTAGCCATTACAACAAGTGTGTAACACTTTTTTTTTTGCCTGTTGGCGTCGCATAGCATGTGAGTTATTATGAGCTAGCAGCTAACTAATAATTTTTCGCATACTACCTGAAGGTGCCAAGTCTGCCGGAATGAGACCCTCGCTATGAATGAAGGAGAGAAGTGTGAATTTAAGGGCTCATTATAATAAAATGATAATAAAAATTCACTAACAGGCAGTGATGCAAACTAACACAGAATAACAATTAGTTGTCATTATTGTGTCATTAGTTTTTATTAATATTGTGTCTAATAAAGAAAACAAGCCCTTAAATTTGCACTTACTTTCTTGACTTCTGGTTGACACTTTCTAAGACATATGGCTATGTCCCACATCTTGAGTCAAAAAACTTATGTTCTGTGCCATGGAACTGAAATGTGACAAAAATGAAGCTAGAGCACCCATTTCAATCAAATAATTATTATTTAGTATCTAAAGAATTAAAAAAAAATCTAAATGGTGAAGTGAAGTAAACGCAGCTGAGTGGTAATCACAAGACCTGAAATCTCAAAATTTCTCAAATTGACTTTTCCATTTTTTTTCGTTTGCTCTCTTTTTATGTGGTTTTCTTTACATTAGTCATATTATAATACAAATTCATTTTTACACATAGTTATAATGCTCACAGAAAAAATGCACTATGCTTTCTTGACCAATTCCCCCAAGTGGGTTTGAGCCATGAGTCCAGGGAAACAAACAAACAAACATTTGTACCACACAAAAGCAGCCAGAAAAAATGTATCCCATTAAGTCAAAATGCAGCAATATCCTGCCACTTGAATGCTCAACGGTGAGATTGTCCTCAGAAATGTTCACCAAGGCTCCGATAGCAGTTCTGTGGAGATGATTATAAAAAGCTCCATGGAAAAGAAGTAGGTGTTCTTGAAACAGCAGTTTAAAACTTGGAAAGATTTTGCACATTCGGGCACTATAAGAAATGAAATCCAGTTTAAAATGTTCTCATTCAGTCACACCTGTATATGACAATTGTATGTATACTTGGAAGACACGCTATGATCATTCCATTGTTCAAACATCAAGAACACAAGTTTAAGAACTATAGTTAAAATGTGAACAAAATTATAGTGATCGAACAATTACAGTAGGTCATAAGGTCAAAATGAGCAATTATCACAGTAGGTCTGTGCGGTGGCTCGGTCTCAGCACCGAGCTGGGAGCTTCAGTAAACAATTGTCGAGAGTGCGCAGGGTAGCGCGTTCAGAAAGTCGAGCCCATGATGCCATCTGAGTCTACTAGCTTGCCTTGGTTGAAGGTTAGAGCTGATCTTTCCCATTTGCATGAGAAAATGTACCTTGCGTTCGTAGACTATTTTTCACGACATCCGGAGCTCGCCCTGCTATATTCCACGATCTCTGTGGCGGTTATTGCATAATTCAAGAGTATATATGCTAGGGGCATAGAATTCCAGACCTGGCCACGACAGACAACGATCTTCAATTCACATCTGCAAAATTCGCGCTTTTTGCAAGAAGTTATGGCTTCCGTCACGTCACATCCAGTCCCAGATACCCACAGTCAAATGGAGCAGCTAAATGTACAGTGCAGACGGTAAAACGAATGTTGGAAAAATCGGCCGATTCTTTCCTGGCCCTAATAAAGACTCCCTCTCTCTGTGGCAGGTCAGCCTTTTTGCATGACCCAGATCATTTAACTGTCGCGTTGTTGAGACTTCATTTGCATAGGTCACAAGAAAATGTTCAATCAAATCTCACAAAGTTTTCTGTTTGGTTCCACAAGACAAATGACTTGTTCTGATTATGAATGTTGCATTTATATTGAATAGCAAAAGCTAACATGTGAACCATTGTACAAACGTGTTTAGCACTACTCAAAGCAATGTATAAGATGCCTGTTAATGAGTGAATCCACTTCCTCCAATATCTTGTTATTTTAAACAATGAACAATCTGGTTGAATGCATGAATGGTGTGCCAACAAGCCTTGCTTAATGCATCCCACTCAAAACTAGCACAATAAATAAACAAATAAATAAAACTTGTGTTTTCTAGATGCCTCAAAAAAATTCGTTTGCATTTCCTTTTTTTTTTAACTGCCAAGATGCTTGTAGGACGCATAACCTGCTGTTGATGTTTTCATTACTTTGGCAAAAGTGTTCTTAAGAAAACAAGGAATGGGACAACATTAAGCTCCACCTGTGGTCTCATGAGGAACAAAGACTGATTCTTTAAATTCATGGTGTTTCTCATAACTTGAAGAATTCTCGCCTTGTGCTTTTTAATGTAAAAGTGGTCCACTCTGCACTGATTAGGCTCATTGCTATTGCACCAGGCCCTCTCATACCTCAATTCAAACAGACCAAATGATGAGCTTGTTACCTGCAGCAAGCACATAGTGTATCATATATCTTTGTGATTTGTTTATGCTCATGTGGGCCAAACCAACAGATGTCTGAAATTGGCTTAGAGAACATCATACCATTGTTGACAAGAGCAATGATGGGTTCCTTGACCCTGTTGTAGAATGTAAGGATGTGATACATTTTTTATAAAATATTAATTATCAATAAGCACAAAAGTAGGCTAATCGGAGATGCCACTGAAATGGAATTGGTGTCTAGGATATGCTATCTTTCTTTCTCGAAGCCTCTGACCACACTTTACGTTATAGAACTTAAATTTTTATGTGATATGTGCATGAAGTGAGCATTCATGGTTATTAATATGTATGTGCACCATTTTCTGTCAAGAATTCGCTGAAAGTCTGTCCATCATACGACATATCTTTTCTTTTGCCCTTTTTTTTCCCATCCTCTACATACTTGAAGTCCAAACATACCAACACACCTAATCTTCCACACTTGCTATTTAGGTTCAAAAGTTGAGAGCCAAATTTACAACACACTTAACAGCTGGCTATACAGCCAAAAGCTTTTTTTAGCTGGCAACATACAGAACGCTTGGCTAATATCTACGCCAAAGTAGCCACTGAAAATACGATAAAACTATGCTAAAAATTATGCAAGATCTGCCAAAACATGAAACTTAGCATTTGAACTGGCCTGTTCTATGAAGCTTAATCATGTTTATGTTGTTTGCAAATCTAGATGCTTGAATGGCCAACGAAGCAGTGGAAAGCATGTGAAACAGCACTGCTCACAAGGGTACCTTTGTAGATGTGTCTGCCCTCCTGAATGGTCAAAATTCCCGTAGCTTCCAGTGTTCTGGATAGAAATAATACGATGTAGTATAGCTAGCACTGTCTTCAACAGTTTTTGAGCACTCTCATTTCTGCACATTAGATCATGAAAGGGAAGAAATAACGCAGTATTAGTGGGCAGCAACAATGAAAAGAAAAGCAATAGACAAGAACAGCAAGATAAAAGGCAGAGAGGTTAACCAGGCACATGCCCAGTTTTCTACCCTACGCAACAGAACATGCTGTATACAAAGGAGCTAGGTTGTTCAGGTTTATTTGCAATAATTATAAGTAGAATTTTTGTCATCCAAAACTTGGTGTTATTTAGTAGGATAGAATTACTTATGGACACAGCTTGTATCTTGTATTCTAATTGTAAATAGTACATACGGTTGAGAAAACACTTGGTAATGTTCTATCACCATTCGTTACAACCATTCAACTAAAAAAGAAGCACTTTTTTGCTCTTGAACCACTAGAGGCAATGTGTGCCTTGATGATTTAGTCTCAAAGGAGGTATCACACATTTGCTGCAAATGTCTGTTTATTATGTTCTGATATCCAATATGACCTCCGATCATAATATGTATTTTTTGACAAGTTTTTAATTTATTTAGTTGATGTTTCATATACATACTGCATATATATGTGCAATAGCATTAACAATGTATTTGTTTACATAACCAATATATTTGTTGTATTTGATTTTTTAACAGCAATGTATTCTACCTTGCTTTGTTTTGTTGCTGCATTTGTACCATAATATGATATATTTCCACCAGCTAAAATCTCCTACAGGTCTGCAGTATCTGTAAATATAAAAATAAATACTAAAGGTCTCTCAAAAGTGCACTTTGTAACTACATTCTTGCAATAAATGGTGCATGTGCAAGTGTGTAAATAAAATTACAATCTGGTATTAATGGTCCACATGTGCTTTTAATATTCATATTTTCTAAAGGGTGCTCTAAAGGCAGAAATCTGCTAACCTTCTGAGTACCAGAATCTGGACTTTTTTCTGTATCGATGCTGGAAGAAAAATCATCCTTACGCAAAAACTATTACAAAAATATTCCTCATTAATTATGATTCACTTCCAGCACTGTTAAGCTAGTAATTCATTAATTCTCAGAAATTACTATTTGTACACACCTAATATTTATGCATAATATTAATGTATAAGGCACCTTTTAAATGTGTAGCATTAATTTGACTAGTAGAAATAGGTGTAGGTCTGTTTTTCTTTATTGTTACCAAGAAATTCAATCCATTCAAAATCACTCACTTCCTGTTTTTATGAATAAAAATTACTGTTGTAGATGAAAGTATATGTAAAGCTGTACTAATCAAGCAAAATAGAAGTTGATATTCCTACTTAATTGTAACTTCAAATATAATTATTACACATGCCTATTGTAAATTAAACAAATTGAGGAGGCCAGGTTTGTCCGGAAAGTATTAAGAGTGCTTTTTCCCCAAAAACTTGATAAAAGGAGGGGAGGGATGTTCCTGTGCCAGTTAGGTGCTGGAGGAACTTGTCTACCGCACACCAGTTACCAGTCATCTGCATGCCTTTGTGGAGTATAAATTATGTTTAAGGTGAGCGCCTTTCAAGGTGCCTTGTCATCTTCACAACAAATTTCGTTAAAGAAGCATTACACGGTGAAGTTTGCTTAAAACTGGGCAAAACTGTGTGTGAGAACCATGACATGATCGATACGACTTCTGGGAGTGATTCCATCGGTTGGCCAAGTGTTTTTGAGTGGTGCAAATTGCTACGGGAAGGTAGAGAGCAAGTTGAAAATGAGCAACGGTCGGGACACCCTTCACTGGCAAAAAGTCACGACAATGTGCTGAGCCATGTGGCCATCGCTCTCATGAACTTCCTCATGAAGCATGGCATCACACAGCTTCCCCAGCCACCCTGTATCCCTGGTGTTACTTTTTCAGACTTCTTTTCCCAACGAAAAAGGGTCATGAAAGGATGGCACATTTCGGCTCAAGCCATTAAAGAAGGAGTAATGGTGAAGAGCATTTTGGCTTCTGCATTGCAGGTATCCTTTTGTGATCAGAATTATAATAGAAGCGTGGAAGCAACACAAGGGACAAGGAAGGATGCAGACAAGCACTAACTTTGAACTAAGCTTTATTGTGAAATGAAAGGCAAATATGTAGGCAGCGATGATGATATGTGGGGTTTAACGCCCCAAAACACCATATGATTATGAGAGACACCATAGTAAAGGACTCCAAAAATTTCGACCACCTGGACTTCTATAACATGCACCCAAATCTGACCACATGGGCCTGCAGCATTTCTGCCTCCGTCAAAAATGTAGCAGCCACAGCCGGGATTCGATCCAGAGGCCTGCGGGTCAGCAGCCGAGTACCTTAGCCACTAGACCACCGCGGAGGAGCTATTTAGGCAGTGGTTGCAGTGACAAGAGAAAGAATAAAGCCAGACACGTGTCCATCAAGCATCAACAGAATGAACAGCATAAGTACGAACGTGGCAAGTGCACAGAAACTGTTATCACTGGCTTATCTCCACGAAGAGAAAACTTGCACCACAGTGGCATACCTGTAACAATGGGGCAAACAGCCAGGACGTTGCTATTTGGTAGGCATTGGTCTGTGTACTTTTCTGTAAACTATTGTATAGTTATTCATTCTCTGACACTGCGTGAAAAATCAGTTTCTGCAAAATTATTCTTATGGTGTGGCAAACTCACCATACTTCTGAAAAAACTTCTTGCGCAAATTAGGGTGTTGATTTGCTACATATGCAGTAAAAAGCCACTTGAGCACATGTCAACTTAAATGAACTATTCAATTGTAAAAACTATTTTTCATTTCACCTCAAGAGAGAGAGAAATAAATAAAAGGAAGAGACAGGGAGGTTAACCTAGAAGAACTGGTTTGCTACCCAGTCTTGGGGTGGGGAAAAGGGTCGAGAAGAGGATATAGATAGAGATATAAAATAAATTAGAAAAAAAAAATCACGTGCGCACACATTCAGGGACTTCCGATCACAGTCGTTTGGACAGGCCAATTGAACGCAAGAAGCGCAGGAGCGCCTTCACAGCCTTCTTCTGCGACAAAGTCCTGTCGGTAGCGCAAGATTCTTTCTCCCGAAAGAGGCTGGTTGTCCGGTTCATCTAGTGCATTGCAGAGTGACTGTCTCTGCGAGCAGTATTGTGGGCATTCACACAGAATGTGCCAAGTTGTTACGTCACTGCCGCAATGGTCGCATGCAGCAGTGTCAGCCATTCCTATGCGGAACGCGTACGCATTGGTAAATGTGACGCCCAACCATAATCGGCATAGCATAGTAGCGTCTCGTCAGCGTAATTCCGGAGGAATTCGAAGACTGAGAGTTGGGTCTAAGGTACACAACCGTGCATGAATGAAATGTGACTCATTCCATTGTGTCGTAGTGCGCTTGCGAGCAAGCATGCGGAATTTCCGTGCAGCATCGGTTCTGGAAAGCGGAATTGATATTTCATCGCTTTCAGTATGGGCAGAACGGGCAGCTCGATCGGCCTGTTCATTGCCAATTATTTCACAATGACTTGGAAGCCATTGAAAGGCTACTTCAAGTCCTTTCTCAATAAATTGGTGAGTCTTTTCTGCAATCTCGAATACCACAAAAGTGCCATTCAACCCACTACTAATAAATGATGGTTCAGTGAACTGGGAGCACGGGGGTAAACACAGACACAAAGCAAAGAAGAGGCACACAGCACGAGCGCTCAACTAACAACTGGTTTATTCTCACGTTTGAAGGGCATATAAGTACACAAGGGTGCGCATGTCAACAGAACTAAGGTGATAGTGTGAGCAGCAAGCGTGGCGTTCATTCGAAGCACTTGTCTACGAATTATCAATATAATTAAACTCACAGTCAGGTAGTGATAATGACGGATGGCTTCTTTACTTTGTGTCTTGTGTTTACCCCCGCGCTCCCAGTTCGCTGAACCATGATGAATTACCAACTAGCCCACCTTTCGATCATATTGCCACTACTAATAGACTTAGGGCATAGTGCACTTCAGTTCTACAAACATATTCCATGACACCATTCTATGCCTCCCGAGTCATTCTGATCACAACTGCAATTTTTCTAGCAGAGTTTTATGCTGGCTTTCTTGAACAGCTCTGTCAATGACACACAGCCAGAGCTAATTGAAGATGATTTCACACAGACAATGGTGCTTCGTTATAATGTGATGAAAAGTGGTTATCATGAGTGCTAAACGGAGGCAATGCCTCTGGATGGAAAACATGATGCGTTTGGAGAAACTTAAGTCCTTTTCTACCCAGCAGAGTGTTGCTGGGAAGGTTCATGAGCGTTCAGACACAGTAATTCAATTTGTGACCGTTGCAGTCTTAAAAGCACAAGGGTAGTAAAAAATTACCGAGTTCTTCACGAGATCCCCAGTAAGCACGAATTCACATGTGAATGAATAGCACGATAAATAAATGGGTTGAAAATTTCCTTTGAACACCTGATGTTTCCTTTAGCTTGTAATAACAAGCAATAACAAAGCTGTTTAATCCAGTCAAGTTTCACTTTGACAAATGTTTTTTTTTTTTTTGTTCTAATGAGCAGTTTTGATTGGGGAGCACTTTAGGGGCCCAAGCTGTCGAATGCTATCTTCATTTCTTGCCGTAAAACACAGGGCGAAACTGGTATGCGAGGAATTATTGGTCAGGTGCCATCTCGTAATAAGATCACGTACTACGCGACGCCTAACAGGCAAGATGAGTGTTCTACTCTCACCTTCATGGCAACAGGTAGCGCTGACTGATGCTGCCACGTTTAAATGCACATATATACCCTACAGCATGGATGGCGGACAACTGCTGCCGTAGCTCAGTGGTAGAGCATCGGACGCGTTACTCGAAGGTCACAGGTTTGGCTCCTGCCGGCGGCAAGTTATCTTTTTGTCCACTTTTGTTACTTCAAAGTTACATTACAATTACTTTTATTAACATCTCCATGCTTTCCATGGCATTATTGTCTGTTAGTTCTTATTAATATTGTGCCTGACAAAGGAAATGAGCCCTTCAGTTTACACTTTCCTTCACATATAACGTAGCCATTTATATCATAACCGTGCATATAAAGGGGGCGGGAAAGGAAAGTGAGGCTGAGGAGAAGCAATGTGGGAGTGAGGTGGAGGAAAAAACAGGAAGAGAAAGGTAATATTAATATCTGGGGTTTTACATCCCAAAACCACAAGATGATTATGAAAGACAAGTTGGTTCATAGTCATTGGAAGAACAAACCAGTGAAAAATAAACAAAGGCAGCAGAGGAAAACAACCAGACAGGACAAGCACTGGATTACAGCCTAATCACCTGCTTTTGGAGACTAAGGTGCAGTGAATGCACACAGCTCTTTATTAAAGAATTCCCAAGGCACAAATAACCAATACCTTTCTTTACAAGCTTTGAGTGGCATGATTCAAAGAGGAGCAATGCCTTTTTAACCCTCAATGTGTACCGCCAACACACATGACCACTACCTTAAACTCTACTACCAGGCCAAGAAACCCAAATTAAACAATTTTGGCACAGTTTGAAAATGAACTTGGAGTGCTGAGAGAGTGAGGAAAAGGTTGGTTGAATTTCTACAAGAGATTCATTGTTGCTGTCTTTATTAATGTTCATAAATTCCGAGAAATGTGAACAATCCTATTATCTTGTAAGCAGCTGCTAAGTACATTATAAAACTTTGATGAAGCGTCTGCCATGGTGGAGCAGTGGTTAATTAAGGTGCTCGGCAGCAGACCCGAAGGGCGCGGGTTCGATCCCAGCCACCGTTGTAACATTTTGATGAGGGCAAAATGCTAGAGGCCTGTGTGCTGTGCGATGTCAGCACACATTTAGGAACACCAGATGGTCAAAATTTTTAGAGCCCTCCACTACAGTCTCTCTCATGGTGGTTTTGCGACGTTAAACCTCACATATTATAAAACTTTGATAAAGAGATCTGGCAAAGTACTAGTCCCACGCTTGAGCCAATGCAAATTTACTTTGCACATAAAACTAGCCATCAAAGGAACCCACAATATTGGTTACACAAAATGATAAAAAGTTCAATAAAAGAATCAACTGTCAAATAACTAGAGTTCACAAACTTGGTGACCCCACACTGTTCAATTAGTTCACAGCCAAAAGTGGTACACCTTTTGGAAAATAAAACAGTTTCTTAACATTTATTGACAACCAAGTGTTGGCACAAAGATTATTTGACTACAAAACTTCAACCATATTCAAAGAGCACTTGAACCCAGAACAATCTGGGGGTCACCAAGCTACTTAAAGCAATCTGCAAGAGCCCGCTCGCCAACTTTTGTCATGTATCTGGTTGTTTTCCTTGGCACTCTTTTTTTTTTTTTTCCACCGGCTAGCCTATTTCCTCGAAAACATGGGCAGCTTCGCAAACCTACCTTATTTCCCACATTGGGCAATGTCCACTATTATGTAACATAACGACCCAATGATACCAGCCATTGAACATGCATGCATACCTTTCCAGGCTTTCTAGAAAACTGGGGGAGTCTCGGTTATTACAAACCTCGAGTTCATAGCAGAATGAAAAAGCATTAAAACGAGCCATTGCTATCAGTATCACACTAGTCTGGGATAAGGGGAAAGTTTATATTGCACTTACACTTGTACATTTGTATATATGTTCAATTTTTCACAAATATTTTAAATATATACATTTAGGGACACCCTTTCGTTTTAGCAATTTATAGGTTTTCAGAAAATTTGTTTAACCTATTTTTCAATTATGCAACACAGAACATAAATTAAAATAGTTTTTCATATTTTAATTATGAAATTGCAGAGTGCAGTGCCTTTTTGCCATCAAAATTGGAAAATGTAATGGGAGACCTGCATCACTTCCATACTAACCAACTACCACTGCAAGTAGGAGCAATGGCATTGTCACTGGCTGGCAAGTGCTTGTACCATTTAATTTCATTCACAGTCTGGGACTCAAGTGAAATGAGACACGGGAGCATCCCCCAAGCCAATGAAAAAAAAGTCAAGCAAAAGTTGTGTACACAAAGGTACAAAGCAAGTTGAATGTCTTTATTGTCAACAGCCAAACAAAATTAAAGTCTCTCTCTACAGACTTTTTGGTCTTCACACAATTTGGTTGAACTAGCGATTGCTAAATATCAAGCCCCCTTGAAAGAGGCACAATGCTTTTACAAAGGTTAAGCATAAACACAATTCACCTGAGCTTGTGACGATCACTAAACAAAATGTGCCACTTTTACGGTGATTTTTTCTTTTTTTTTTTTTGCACACACTATGTGCAAATCACACAACACAAGGGACCTGCGACTGCATCAAATAAATGGTCCCACCCCCTCATCCCTAATATATGCCATCACACATGTGTAAACACTTAAACCTGCAGTGTTGACACAACTAAACACACAGTGCATGAATGATGCATGAACATGAAACAACTTAAAAGACAAGCAGCTACCAAACACTTACACAAAGGTTAAGCATAAATGCAATTAATTCACCTGAGCTTGTGACGATCACTAAACAAAATGTGCCACTTTTATCGGTGATTTTTCTTCTTTTTGCACACACTATGTGCGAATCACACAACACAAAAGACCTGCGACTGCATCAAATAAATGGTCCCCCCTCCCCCATCCCTAATATATGCCATCACACACGTGTAAACACAGACTTGCAGTGTTAACACCACTAAACAAACAGTGTATGAATGATTCATGAACATGAAACAACTTAGAAGACAAGCAGCTACCAAAGCTGCAGTATTTATCATTACTGCACAACAGTAATGATAAATAATAGCAACAAAGAAATAAGAAAGAAGAAAAGGTCACTGAGTGAAAAAGACACATTCAATCATACACTATGCAACAACATGTGCACAGTGACATACCCACAACCGCAAGTGTTACATAATAGTCCAGTTACTACATACAAAGTATGAACTTGACTAGGGGGGAAAAAAGGGCTCACATTCTCAAGGGACCAAGGACCAGTCATACACTGACCTCTCTTGCTAGCAATGCGTAATCCCTTTACAGCATAGTGCGATTCGAAAAGCTTAATTACAAAGATAAATATCCATACACAGCAACTTCTTTATGAACGAGACAAGTAACATATATTAGTTAACCAATAAAAAAGCAAAACGCAACAGTTAACCAATTGCCGAACAGTGGCAAATTTAGTATTGGCTAGTAATGATTGTTATATAAACTAAACTTCTATACAGTGGCAAATTCAGCAATAGCTACTAATAAATGTTAGATAAACACAAACTTGTATATAAAAGGGTACAAAAAAAGAGTATATAAATACAAAAAAATGCAGTTCGCATTGTACACTATTAATACACCAAACATACCTGCTAAAAAACTACAACTGTAAAAATGCAGCAGGTAGTTTTATATATTCATATGTATATATGTATATATATTCATATGTATATATATATATATATATATATATATAAAGGCTTCAGGTGTTTCCATCATATGAACAATAAAAAAATGTTTGCTGCCATGGCCGAATGACAGCACGGAAGCCATTAGAACTAAAGCACTGAACAGCCAAAAGCAATCCTGAACTACAATAATAAATGTAAAAGGGGACCAGCGCACGTAAAGAAAGCAACTTAAATGATAAATGATCTGAACATTGGTATATATATAATGGCTTCAGGCGTTTCCATCATATGAACAATAAAAAAAATGTTTGCTGCCATGGCCAAATGACAGCACGGAAGCCATTAGAACTAAAACACTGAACAGCCAAAAGGAATCCTGAACTACAATAATAAATGTAAAAGGGGACCAGCGCACGTAAAGAAAGCAACTTAAATGAAAAATGATCTGTACATTAGAAAACTACACAAACAAAAAAAAACTTGCTAGTGGGAATATTAACTGGACTTGCACTCAAAGAGCACAGCGAAAATCTGTGACATAAAACGTTATCAGAAGTACCAGTTCTGTAGCAACATCACAATGCCCCATCCAGCATTCCTTGAACATTGTCAACATCAGAGGAACAGCCACCTTTGTCACTGTGCTCAGGAAAACGCTCCAAGTCAACAGGAGCACCTTGCTCGGCTACATCAGTTAGCCCGCCACCTTGGTCAAGCTCCTGAACTACTATGCCATGCTGAAGGACTGTAGGTGACTGCATTTCAAATACGTCCTGTGGTACAAGCACAGTGTCATCACCAGAATTTGTTTTGATGGTAGGCAGTGATGAACCAATTTCAATTTCTACGACATCGTCTTGCACTATGCAGGCGGCTACATCAGCTTCCGATTGAAGTTTATCAATCTCTTTGGCTTCTGGTTCTTCCGCAGCACAGCCATGTCCTCCACTAAGTTCAATCTCGACAGCTTCCGATTCTTCCCTTATTTCCAGACAGCCAGATTCTTTGTTTGTGGAGCCAAAGTCTGTAAGATCACACAAAACCTCTTCATCTTCTACCTTGTTATCTTCATCAAAACAGGAGCCACCGTTATGAGCATTCAAGTTGACATCTTGAGAAGGGCTCAATGGAATATAATCTTGCTTAGAGCCATTAAGCCCAGCACTGGGTCCGGAAAAATCACATTCCCTTTGCATTTCACATGGGCTGTTCTCCTCGGGTTGCAAATTGTACCTTGAATCTTCAAAACCACACTCGTCTAGCTCTATATTGATAGGCGAATCGGACAGGACAGATTCCTCTGGACCAATGCACAAATGACCACCATCAGCTTCTCCTGTATTGACTTGAAAACCAGTAAGGCTGGAAGAGCAACCAGACCTACTATTTTCAAGTTCCTTTACAATGCATGAACTGTCTGCGTCGGATGCTATGTCCATCTTCAACACTCCCTTCAGGCATTCATCAGTAGCAGCGGCTGAGCCTTCTGAATCATCTAGAACATCTGCTGTTGAAAGCTGACTGGTCTGCTCTATGCTGTGCAGTAATGTGTCCTTGCACTCTGTAGCCACTTCACATTCACTTAATTTCAAGAACTCCCTATCCTCGGGATGCTTAACAGCTTTCAGCACAGGGTCGCTGCCAGCAACAAGAGCTCCACGGTCAGCAGAACCAACATTTTCACATTGGACATCACTAACATCTGGATCCTCAACTATTGAGTCACAGTACACATCCTTTTCATCTTCCATGTCTTCATACTCAGTCGCATCAGGATTGCAAATACGATTGAAGAGATCTTGCGCACTTTCTCCATCTTCTTTGCATGCAGTTTCACTTTCATTCTTGTGCTCTGTATGTGCAGATTCAGCTTCATCAATTTCACTAAGCTGTTTGGTTCCATCCAAGACAACGATGTTGATCACTTGCGTCTTACAACCAGCAGGCATTTCTTCTTTTGAGTTGTTGAGTACAACACTGCTCACCAAGTCATCAAGTGTTTCCTTGCTTGCCGAAACTATGTCATCCACCTCTTGCTCAACTGGTACCATGACAGGAGGCCCATGATTATTGTTGTTCAAGTGTAATTCAGGAGAACTGGACACTGTCGATGAACTGTCGATGGACACTGTCGATGAAGTTGGTGTTGAAGTCGGGCGTGATGGTGTTGCATCATTTTCACCAGCATCATTGCAGTCATGAAGGTTTGGAAAATAATTATCATCTCCGTCATCTCGAAATAGCAATGTCCTGGTGCCATCACTCATCGTACCCCAAATTTCTAACGAATCGCACTTCATGTACGCCTGTGGCTTGTAGTGTCGCATTGGCTGAAAATGACATCTTGCATGGTCCCTCAAAGTCGACGTATGAACAGACCGATAATCGCAGAAGGTACAGCGCATCCCCTCTGAAGTGCAGTGACGTTGAAGGTGATTTACAATGGTCTCGCGTCGATGGAATGCATATGGGCATCGGCTGCAGATGTAAACACGCTTCTCCTCTACAGGTGCTGGTGCAGGAGCCACTGTTCCACTTTCTGATGGAGATGCAGCAGGGCTGGGCTCGGTGCCTTTTTCAGATGGCTGGGGCGTGCTTGTAACCACAAGTGGTGTCGGAGACTTTGGTTTTGTAGTCTCAGATTCAGGCACAAGAACTTTATGAATCTTGCGATGTTTAACAAGGTTTGCTGCAAACTTGACTGAATAGTCGCAGTGCGAACAACAAAATCGTTCTTTGCATCCATGGAGGGCAAGGTGCTTTTGAAAGCGATTGTATTTTGAAAATGATGCAGGGCACTTGTCACATCGAAACGTCTTGCGAGGCTGTTTCTGCTTCAATGCACCTCGGTAGTGAAGGTGTGTGTGTGCATTGACATTGGCTGCACTGTTTGCAGCATAGTTGCAGAAGTGGCAGGCGTACACACCTGAGCTACCATGTAGACTAATGTGGTATTCAAGTGTAGTAGCCTTCTGAAAGACTGCAGGGCAGCGAGTGCAGCGGTGCAGTTGGACTCCCAAACCCCGAGAACCAGCATCTACAAAGGCACGCGTCTCGGCCTTCTCCAGAAGTAACATCTGATCTGCAGCAACTGGCGGCGGAGTAGCAGGCGCCTCAGGCTCTACATTATGACTGCGATCTTGGCTACGAATCTCAGCCAGTGTAAAGCCATTCTGGCGTTCTGCATATTCTGGTGTGTGGACAAGAAGGTGCTTGTGCAGATGAGGCTTGTGTCTGGCTCTGTAATCACACAAGTGGCATGGATAGAGATGAGCAGAGTTGTGGTATGTCTTATGTGTGTCCAAGTCAGTGTGGCTCTTGAACATGGCTGGACACTTCTCACAGAAGTAACTAAATATCTTCTTGCGTGGTACCACTTTCATCTTGTCTTTTAATGCCGCAATCTCTGACCTTTGCACTGCTGCAGCTGTTGACTCTTGAGCAGACTTTTTGGCAATAGCTGGCCGGGGAGGCAATGCATTTAGATTTTCACAGAATGTCTTCATTCTGTTCAAGTCCAAGGACGGGTTGTCCGCTTTGTGCAGTTTCATGTGGCTGGCGAGAACACCAGTGTTGTTGCATCGATAGCTGCAGAGAAGACACTGGAATTTGGCTCCCTTTGACGCAGTGTGCATACGTTCATGAATTTTCACATTAGCCCTGCGCTTATTAGTCAGAGGACAGAACCTGCACTTGAACATGCGGTGTGCTGTGCCATTGACTATAGTTGTCATCGCTTGGATGCCACCACTGTTTGATGCTCCATTCAACGTTGTTCCATCAGCAGACTTGTGTACCTTTAGATGCTGCGCCATAAGGTGGCTGTGAGTTGACCAATAGTTGCAGTGAGTGCACTTGTGGGGAGCATTCTTGTTTGGTCGATGAAACTGCTTGTGGTACAGGTACTGCGTTTTGTTGTCAGACATGTATGGGCAATGTTCACATGAATGTTTCTTAGCATCTGTCTTCATAGGTAAACGAGGCAGTGCTTCCACGATTGGCTTCTGCTCTGCGTTATGAAGCTGCATGTGACGTGACAAGGTTTTCTTCACATTAGCATAGAATGGGCAGTGTTTGCATTTGAAAATAGCTCCTTCTCTTGGCACATGCTGTTTCATATGGAACTCCATGTGGCACCCTTTGGAGCATTGGTAAGGGCACACAGTGCACTTCAAATGTTTTTGTTCTGCACTTGGTGGTGCAGGTGGTGCAGGTGGTGGGGCAGGCTCTTCTTCTTTTAAGCGAAACATAAAGCCTTCCTCCACAAAGGAAACCTTGTTTTCAATGTCCTTTGGGCCAGTGTTGTGTCGGTGCCTCACATGCATTAGAACAATGTGGTACCACTTTGAAACGAAGCTGCAAAGACGGCAACGATAAGGTTTCACTGCTGTATGAGTGCCTAAATGAGCAATAACCACTCTGCGATCACTGTGAGCAAACCTGCAGTGGCCACAATATAACAATTGTTGGCGTCCACTAGTGTCAGGTAGAGGGCCAGCCAAGTCATCCTGGTCACCATACAGTATGTCAGGTGTTACCACAATGTTCTCTGTTTCATCAGGACGGACCAGTTGCACTTCTGAACTGGGCTTCGGAGATGGTGTAGGCTGGAGAACTTTATCGCCTTTAGCAGATTCTTCCACGTCCACAAGATGAACCTTGTACTTGGCATAATTCTTAAACCCAGTTTCATCCATGACTACGAGTTCAGCCTTCTTGTGCTTGAAGTCATTGGCAGACTTTGACTTGATGTGCTTGTTAACATCCCATTGCCAATTTGAACGATAGTTGCACGCTGAGCACATAAATGGCCTTTTGTTGAGGTGCTGTATCATGTGCACATGAAATCGCGAGGCTGTACGAGTCAAAAACGAACATTGTGGACACTTGTACTTCTGAACAATCCTGGCTACTCCTGAAGTAGCCTGGTATGAAGACTGATATTCAATATGCTTTCCAGCAAACTTCCCAGACATAGCTCCACTGTCCTTGCTGCCAGATGCTTCGGCACTTTTAGAGTCATAATCATGGTCCGCATTTTTTGGTTGAGACAGCAAAAATCGCAACACATGGCTGGACTTTGCTTGTTCTACTTCTCCACTGGGGCCGTCAGCTGCTCCAGTATTCTCCTTGTGCATACGGAAAACATGACGTGTCATGTCGCCTTTCCAACGACTTGTGTAAGAACAGTAGGTGCACTTGAAGGGTTTTAAGTTTCCGTGGACCAACTCGTGCTTTCTCAGTTCTGAAATCCAACGTGTGGTATAGCCACATTGGTGGCAGGTATGCATAGGCTGCTTACTCTTTATAGAGATGTCAAGGGCTTGAGTAGAACCTGAATAGCTAGCTCGAGCTGTAGAATCATCAGTTTTTCCCAATTCAATGATGATGGGTGCACTTGTACCAGGACTGGAATCAATGATCTTCTCAGATGGTTCTTCCTGGTGGTCAAGTGTTACATGCTTCTCAAGGTGGTCAAGCTGGTCAAAGCGAACTTGACAAAGAGGGCATCCATGTTTCTTATTCATTTTAAAATGAGTTGCCTCATGTCTCTTGAGCTCGGATGGCCACAGAACTTGCTGAGGACAGTATCGACACTTGCGCATTGCCCCTTCACTTGTCTGAACAACAGCAGTGTCACCAGTTCGTTTCAGAGTCATTCTGAGTGGTGGTGGCGGTGAAACAGAGTCTTCTCCAGCATCTTCATCAATCATGAGCCTGTCATCATCATCATCATTTTCATGTTCAGTGTTTTCTCCCTCACTAGCTGAAGTATCTTTCAAAATTTCATTATGATGATGCAAACAATGGGCAGTGAGGCTTTTACGAGCCATTGTCATGAAGCCACACTTGTTGCAGCGAAACTCGCCATCCGAAGTGTGGTACTTGAGGTGCCTGTCCATGTTCCATTTGTAGCAAGTCTGAAAGTTGCAGAACTGGCACTTAATCTTCGGCAAACTGTGAAAACGCAAATGGCGAGTATAACGACCTTTCTCATGACACACATAGCCACACTGCTGGCAGCGGTAGAACCGCCGTTTCAAATGCACAGTCTTCTCATGTTCATCCACATGAACTTTGCTCCTCGCATGAAAGTTGCAACTGCTGCATTTGAAGAGCTTCTCTTGAACGTGCATACCGACTTCAGCTGCAGCTGCAAGAGCTTGCGGTGCTGCTGGTGCCACAGTCTTGACATCACGCCTCCGATTTTCACTGTTCATCTCTTCCTTATGGATAATGTTGCAATGTCTCTGTAGTTTCTGTGGTTGTTTAGATGCATACTCGCAAAAGGGGCAGTCGTGAATGTTTATTCTATCACCATGGACATCTTTCCTATGGCTGAGGAACTCTTTTGGCCACTTGGTTACCAAATCACATTCTGAACAAGTGTAGGTTCGCCTTCCAGTACGGCCCTTCTTGTTGGATTCAGGAGGTGAACTCTCACGTGGCCTTTTCCTTGACTGTCCAATGCCTTCACTCTGTTCTTCAGATGCGCCATTTTCCGAATGCGCTTCATCTGTAGCATCACCAGAAACCACTTCTGGCATGAAATCATTCTCAGGTACTTGTTCTAATGCTGCATGGTTATTGTCTCCATCCACCATGTTCACTCTTTCGGCATATTTTGCATACCGTATTCTCTTAGCTTCTAACTTCCTTAAAAGCACATCTAAAAACTGTGGGTGTTCACTTGACGTATGCACTACAAGCTCATCTTGACTCTCACACAACCGGCCACACATTTCGCATACATTGGCACTATTGAGTTTGTGAATGCTACGCCTGTGCCGGTAAAAGTTGGCCTGGTAGCGAGTAACAAATGCACACAGGCTGCACCGATAAACGCGTGTGCTATGGTTTAAGGCTACATGATTGGCTAGGTGCTTCCTGTTCTTGCCAACAAATGAACAGCTCTCACATTTGTAATTAGGCATGGTGGGAAATCCAGGCTTCATTCTATTGGCTTTAGTGTCTCCAACCACGGGAATATAGGAATATGCAGTATGGAACTTCACCGTTGGTGTGGCCAGGCTTCCACTTCACAAAACAAGTCACCAAGGCAAGTTCTTGTACTGCAAAGTGTCTGAAAAAGGAATAGACACATATAATATATGCTAGATACTTGAGCATATCATAGCTTGAGCATATCATAGCTTTAACATTTATGCGCATCTAGAATCTAACAATTTCTTTTTCTCTAACCAGCACGAGTTCCGAAAGGGTCGTTCTTGCGAGACTCAACTCGGAGTTCACCACTGACCTACATTCTAACATGAACAGTAATCTACAGACAGATTGTTTATTTCTTGATTTTGCAAAGGCATTTGATCGTGTTGCTCATTGTCGCTCGATATTAAAACTGTCATCACTAAAACTTGATTCACTCACGCTAACATGGCTCAGAAACTTCCCAACTAACCGCCAACAATTCACTATTGCCAACAGTCACTCTTCATCACTTTGTTACGTTTCCTCTGGTGTACCACAGGGCAGTGTTCTTGGTCCCTTACTTTTCCTCATCTACATTAATGACCTGCCTGACAACTTATCCTCATGTATGCGTATATTTGCCGATGACAGCATTATCTATAGTCCCATCCGCAACAATAGCGATCATCTAACACTTCAAAAAGACCTCGAGCATATTAACGAGTGGTGCAAAACATAGCAGATGCAAACTAATCACCTTTAGTCGAAAACGTGATAACTTTAACAGCCAATACATAATTGATAATAACATTGTAGAATGCACTGATCATTACAAATACCTAGGCATAAACTTAACTTCTACACTTTCATGGTCCACACATGTCACTTGTATCTGTGCCAGCACATCAAGGTCATTAGGTTCACAAACTGGCTTATCTTGCTCTAATCCATCCTCAACTGGAGTTCGCATCCTCCATTTGGTCACCATATCAACAATACCTCATAGATAACTTAGAATGTATACAGAACAGAGCTAGTTTAGCTTAACACAGATTAAACATAGCCTTGCACTCGAGCCACTGAAAATTCACCGCGACATCTCACTTTTATCACTATTTCACAAACTCATCCACACCAGCATGATGCCATCTGTTCACCTTAATCTAGCACATTGAACTTCCAGCAGACTACATAACACCTTTAGCTTATCACACATGTACAGCAATACTAACCAGTCGGCTCTTCCACGAGCTATTCGTTTGTGGAATGATTTGCCAGATGATCTTGCGTCAGAACAAGACCACACAAAGTTCTATCATACTCTTGAAAAATACTTATGCACCAAAAACAGCTCTATTGCATCTTCGTAATCATCTGTACTTATAGGACTGTTGCTGATATTTTCGCGCTATTGCTAGGTTGTAGTTACTGTCATAATATTTTTTGTATTTCACCTTTACATACTGTAACTTTTCTAGTATGTATTTTGCTTACATGTTCATAAGTTGAACTGCATTTCCTATTATATTCAATATTTGCCTATGTATGTGTAGATATATATGTATACATATTTTTCTAACATATCTGTACTGCCCCCCTTACACAATGCCCCTCGAGGGCTCTGTAAAGTACTGTAAATAATAAATAAATATATGTAACACCGAGACTTTCAAGTGATCACCTCAGTTACACTCCATGGTCCAGCTAACCTTTGAATATGCACTAGAACAAAAAATATATCATGTGAAACGGAGTCTCATTACAACTGCAGGCAATGAGAGCACCACACACAGTTCCTTCAAGTCGCAAGCCAAGAACTACAATATTCGTGCATCACAGCACGGATACGCTCATTAAGCAGTGCGGTCCGCTAGGCAGCGGATGAGCCTATTGATCTCCGCGATATGGTCATGGACGTACAGTCGGCCACGTCTAACTATTGTGGGCAGTAGCCACTTTTTCTCAGCGCCATAGTATGGAACGAAATTACAAAAAATTGCTTCGCGGACATGTGCTTTACACTTGTCCTCACCTTTCTTGAAACTTAATTCAGTCGTATGGCAAAGATACACAGAAAAAACTGCCACTCATGCACGATAGCTAAAGATTTGGTCGACTGTACGCCTCTTGTAACATACAAACACGGCGGACAGCCGACCACATGCACACGGTGGAGTCACTCCTACCTAGCTGTCCCTGTCAGCGTAAACGCTCAATTGCTGTCTCGCTTCCGCACACGTTCCCTGCATCGAAGGCTTCTTATTGAAAAGCAAACACGCTTTTCATGTCCAGCGCTGTCTATGCAAGCGCCTAACGCTACCCGGCAGATCACCATCACCGGGCGCGACAGGAAAAAAAAAACAGAACAAAGAAAAACTGGCTGCGTGCACAGTGTTGCCCACGGAGCGCGGGGCTGCTCACGAAGTCGGGTTCCCAGCTCCAAAGTGTCCGCGCTGACAAGTTCTCGCAACCAATTATAACAAGCAACGCTTCGAGTGCGGATACACAAGCAACGACAACACGTCCACAGCCTTCGATGCGGGGAAACTGCAGGTCGGTGTCACTCGGCGGCCCTCCCAACATGGTTCCTATTCCAACGAAAAGATCGGGCGCGATGAGACGTCCTCTGGTACGCGCAAATGGTGGGTACCACAGTTACGCGGCTATGCGGACAGACGGTCGTTATGCAACAGCTTAGAGTTGGCGTTCTTAGCGATGCGCTATCAATTAGTAAGGTCGCTTACCTCCACGGCGACGTCGATGCGAGCAGCGGCGAGTCTCTTTGTAGCAGGGCAGACAAGGCTGGGGCGCCATGTTGGCCTTTGCCAACACTGCAAGCTCTCGATAACTCTCGGACGGCCTAGGTGATGTTCTCTTGTTCTCAAAGCTAGTGGCAAGACGTATATTCTAGCTGGCGAGCAGGCAGAACTACGTTAGAGGCGACGGTTACGCTAGCCGCCGTGCGTACGAGAACACGGAGAGGGCCCGGCCGCACTCCGCTCCGTCCGCTGCCGATCTGCTAGTCCGTCTGCAGCTCTGGCAGGATCACGTGATGCATCTCCTGGTCCGCCGTGCTGCTGCTCCGCGTGTGGCTCTGCCAGACGTGGGCCATGTGGGGCTGTTCTCTCGCTTATATATGTCCTCGCGCTGGTGTTGCTCGTTGAATGTGCGTTCTCCCTAATTTTCATTCATTCATCGGTGGTTAGTATCACCTGTGTATATATATAAGAGCCGACCCTTGGTTGAGTAGTTGCGTATTGCTGATGCTTCAAAAGGCCGTCAAGACATTCGCTTAATGATGTACTTCGTGCTGCCGACTGCTTGATGAGATATTTCAATAGAAGGCGCAAAACAGTGGGGTTGAGTAACAGTATTTGCTCGTTTGCAAATATGCAGATTTTTTTTTTGTTTCGTTTGTTCTGTGACAGATGAGTGATTTATGTAATGGCCTGTCAGAGTTAATATTGCGCTTTATGGTTACCTGCACGCCTGACGTCATTGTGCATTGCCACTTGTGTTATGTTTATTGTTGTGGTGTTAACAATTACGTGATTTATTTGCGTAGTTTTGGACATCGCTAACGTCAAAATTTAACATTTTCGAAGATGTTCAGAAGGTTTCTGATGTTCAGATGTTCAGAAGGTTCAGAAGATCTTTTCTCTTTTATTTCGTTGGCAGTATTGCCTGATGAGAAAATTCGACCCAATGTTGCAACCTTTCGCCCAAAAGTTACGTACGGCTGCAGCGGGAAAGAAAGAGAAATGAACTTTTTTTTTTTTTTTTTGACCAGACTGTAATTTCAGGCGCAGCAGTGCAATGGCTGACGTGACCTAGATGTTGTGGGCTCACATATGTCATATTTTTCAGCATATTAATTATTGACGCCGTAACGCACAGTTAGCATGCACAGTCAAGGGCGGGTACAGGATTTTCTGGATAGGGTAGGGGGCTTGCTTATGGGAAGTCTGGCACCTATAGCTGACTATGGGTGTCAATGCCCATCGTCAGCGTATACATTGAAAAATAAAGGTAGGTGGGGGGGAGGGGGTGCTTAGTACATCCTAATCCTCCCACTCTGGATCCGCCCGTGTGCACAACGATCTAAGTTGTACATCTATTAAGTTATCACTGCCTTTTACAGCTGGTACATAGCTGTTATCGCCGAAATGCTCTTAATTTATAACATCACTTGGTTTAACATTTTGTCATCGTACTGTCGTGGTCCCACACATAGATAGGTGTGCGCAAAGGGGGAGTGGGAGAGTAGGGGGTCGGCCGCCCTCCTCCCTTTGTTACCTAAGAGCGGGGAGGGGGGGGGCGTGAAGTCAGCCCCATACATTGACGTAATAGGGAGGAGGGGAGCGCTTCGACGAACCTTTGCCCCCTCCTAAAGGGCAACCCTGCGCACGCGTATGGCCCCATATGTAACGTATATGAATACTGGCAGATTCGAAGAAAATAATACGCTGAAATACGTGTTTCCAGCTAGTACATGGGTGGGTGGGGGGAGTCTTTACGGCTCTATCCCATGTATTTCTATGGAAGCATGGCCTGGGAACTTTTGACCAGGACTCTACGTCTCCGTGCTGTGGCGGTGCTTTCTCGATCATTATAGTTACCTGCTGCGCCACATTTTTGGTATATGTATGCGTCAGCTTATAGCTTCTACCTTGTAGGTTGACGATTTCTGAAACCATCGCCCTCGCTTGACGGGCTGCGGTTAATAGACAACCTGGAGTACTCATTGCAGAGATTTTTTTTTTTTTCGTTTTTTTCGTGCCTGCATAATAGTAGTTACTGGGACCTGTCTGTCATGCTAGAGTATACGTTCGCAAGTGTGGCTTCCTCCGTTCACCGGTCGATGCGGATCCCCCTGAGTCCCTGCTGGAAATCCTAGTTTTCCGCCGTCAACCACACCCAGTGCTTAGCAGCCGTTTATTTTCAGCCTTGCGGCCCTCGCTTCTCTTGTCCCGGCGGAAGGGAGGGGGGGGGGGGGAGCCAAGAAACTTGGTCGTCGTTATTTGTTCACAAAACTTTCTACCTTCTGAAGAGGCGGTAGCCTTACTTTATGCTCAGTACCACTTAATGAACAGAACATTTGCCACCGTCCGATTCTTTCGAATTAAAATTTCTGGCGTCGTTTAACACGGCAACACCGGTGAACGTGTGTTAATCGAGGGGTGTAGCCTGCTGCTACACGTTAGTTGCTGGTCGCGGCTGATGTCCGTGGCGGAAGCCGTTTTAAAAACTGCAACGTGTCTTTGGACAGTCGGAAAACGATGGAATGAGCTTTGCGCTTCGGGTGCGGCTCAAAGTTGCGGTGGTTGGGGAAGGGGTCACCTGCGCCCCTCCCGCCATCGCTCTCCTGCTTCGCTGCCGGCGGTGCGTTCGATAGCGGCCAGGCCTATGGATGGAATGGGTGCTGATGGCGAGAACGCCTACCTTATCAGGCGCGAGGCGTTTCCTTCATCAAATGTTCCTACGCAGCGAATTGCCCGTCATGGCAATGGCAGCTCTCGTCCGAAGCAGCCGCCCTTTTGGTGCGCGTACCATGCATGTCTGCATGCAATACGTGGCGGACTGCATTGGGCCGCTTGCTTTTTACTTTGACACCAGTGCGGCAGCGCCATGTCGCACTGCCGTTTGGAACGAGCTACGCCAGCGGTTATGTTGGGCCCGGCCGTGCACAGCGCCCGTCAGACAGCCCGCCGCGCTCGCATCGGCAAGTGCCGCGCAGCTGTGCCCATTTCGCTGCAGTGACGCGCGCTTGGCCACTTTTGTTTATCGTTGTAGATAAAGGACCTCCATCGGATGCTGTAGCACCCCGGTACCCTATTATGTGCAGCTAGTACGGCTGCCTTTAATCTACAATATCCATCTGGGTTTCTACGGTAACACTTGAACGACGTGACCATGTTTTAGGGCCCCGATCGTGCGCCTCTGTTCTGTGCACCTCGGCCGGAAGGCTCCGATCCGCATTTCTCATGGTCTGATAGACGCACGGCGTTGTTCGTATTTTCTTATCGCGGCTATTCGTCGCGTGCATTTTTTTGTCTGTTTTGGTGGCTAACCTTGCACATCACCTCAGAAATGCCACGCGGCGTTTTGTGGTTTTGCTGACGTGTTAAAGTTTGATGGGGTGCTTGTTCGAAAAAAGCTACTTGTTGCTATAGGCAAGCGTTCGAAGGCCCCATTTATGAAACGTGGCTTGCGGTCATGTGCGTCGCAAGTTCCACCGGCATGTCGGGATGGTTTGTTAGTATAACACCCATCAAAACCCCCAACCGACACATAGCAGCTCTGCACGCTGCATCCCCGAGGCGGTAGCTTTCTCGCCTTGGGTGAAGCCCTTTATGTAGCAAGTAAATTAAACGCTTTAATTTGCGGACAATTACGTGCGCGTGTTGGTTTTAGAATACAACCCAGTGCTTGTTCTGTGTAGTTATAAGCATATGGTGGTAAGCCGTATCTGTTGGAGGCTGTAGCCACCCCTCTTCTCTCTCCCCCGCAGGCATTTGCTCGGCTCGTGTGCGTTGCTGAGTTCGAAATAATGTTACCAGAATGTCGGGGAGTGTTTCGTTACCACTGTTCGTAAAGTCCGCCTCGTACAGCGTGGGCCAGCTCTGCGCCGTGTCACGGCCCGCTCGCAACATTCCGGCCGGTCGATAGCGGTGGGTCGCCATCGCACGATGTGGTTGGGACAAACGAGGGGCAACTGGAGCTGCTGCGCCGGCGGGCAGCTTCCGTGCCGTCTGCTCGGCGCTCGAAAGAGGAAGCAGACGACGTCCTTGAGCCAGATGATCTGCCGCACGCGCCGCGCTGCTGCCTCCCACCTGGCCTCGGGGAGGGAGGCAGCCGCCATGGCCGCCATGTTGGAATAGTGGAGCCGCTCTTCTCTGCTCGGCACGGCGGCGCTCTGGGCTTTCTGTGTCGCTCGCGTGCTACAACTCTGAAATGACGCGGCTTGTTGGTGCGGTAGCTTCAAATATAATGACATTTCTGTCTTTTTTAAAAGCCACATTTTGCGCGACACAGAAGTGACATACGCAAAAGATTGGGACCCTCCTCCATCCGTGTTAGCGCACACTGCTCGGTCAGCTGTTGTGCACTCAAGAGCTAACAAGACGTAGGCCCCTAGCAGCCGTGCCATCGTTACATACTTCATAACCGTGTATACTAATTAGCCTATCAAATAGTCCTGAAGCTAAAGCTTCCTGTTGTAATTAGCCTATCAAATAGTCCTGAAGCTAAAGCTTCCTGTTGTTTTGGTGTCTGAGCAATCCGGTGGGTTGATGTAGCGTAAATTAATCATAGACAAAGTATAAGGTAGGAGAAAAGGGTATCGCCAGCGTGCGAGATTTTCACTGAGGATTAGACGGAGAAATGCAACACACGTGTGATTTGACTGAAACATGGGCGTCGGCAGCGGTGTAGCCAACAACCCAAGCCACACCCACTGCGGTGTTACACGGGCTGGCACCCCCTTTCTATCTCAGCCCATGGACTCAGGTGTGCGTTTTAGAACCTCAGGTGCTCGAACTTAATCCAGAGCCTCGCTGTAGCTTGCCTGACTGTAGAACTCTAGAAATCATTACTGTTATTTTAATTGTTTAGCCCACAAGCGTCTCGATGAGTTTAGAAGAACTTACGTTGAATCTCACTGGCATTTTGGTATCACCAAAAGCGACAGAAACGCGCAGGTGCCTGGTGATTCTGCGTTTCTTTTCTTTTTCTGGCGTACGAGACCTTCACCGGCGGGAAGACTATACCTAGCTAGAATATGTTTACACTGCCAGATCACGGTGCTCGCTTGCGCAAGAGCGAGCGTTCTGAACGGGTGAAACTGGCTTTCTGTTTTCCTTACACTGAAGGGCTGAGTAGGAAGCTGACCGCTATAGTGCGCATTGTGATTATTACTTAGGAGGTGCATTGACTCGGCTTGTCATGTTTGCTAGCTTCAGCTTTGCTAGAATTATCTCTGCGTGACATGCCTAGACTCTAGACGACCGACAAAGTGAGTAATTCGAGCACACGTCGTAGTCCGTCACTCTGCCGGTCGCATTTAGTCATAACGTGCCAGTTAGCACTATCCGCCGCATTTGAA